TTTTATTAATTAGATCCTGTAAATAAATTTTGCACATACTTAATATTTATTTTAGTTCATAGTTACAACGTTACAAGTAGGTAAGATAGTTTCCGTTACTTTAAATAAATACGATTTGCTTTTATTTCCTTTTTTTATTCAATTAATCTAATAGCATCCTACTTTTTTGCATTGGTTGTAAATAAGTACTTATCCAAGTAGGTGCAGGTAGCGTGAACAAAGCTTTTTTAATATAATAAATCTGAATCTGTACATCTGTTTTGTTCGATTCATTTCATTTTTGTTGTTCTACGATGCCTCGCAAACGAAAGTCCGATTTAGCTAAAAGCTCTAGCAGAGCTCGGGCTGCTAAACTTGATAGATCACTGGAATGAGACTTCTCAACAGACCTAAGCTCGCCAAGCCATTGATGCCGAGCGTCACGCGGCTCAAAGAGCTGCTGAGACTTCTCAACAGACCCAAGCTCGCCAAATCTTAGATGATGAGTCAAGCTTCGTACATAGCCGCAGAGACCTCCGAAGAAACACGTAGACGACGTTTAATTAATGCCGAGCGGCAAGCAGAAAGGAGACGTTTACGATGAATACGTGGGAGGCATTTGCCGATGCTGCTTTTGATTATGATCTGTTACTTGATTACTTTAATCATCGATTAGTCCTCATAGGTAGAATGGCCAATAAATGCAGACACTGTGAGGCACTCAAGTGGAAGGAAGAGACCCTAGGTATGTGCTGTTCTGGAAGCAAAGTATCAGTACCAACGCTTGGTGACCCCGAGGAGCAACGACAGAAGAAAGGACAGCAATGAATCTCGGCGATTTTTCCTGTCATCATGCCTGGATTTTCACCCACATTTACGGTTCAAGGGCAAGTTTATCATAGGATTGGTTCTTTGCTTTCCACAAACAATAATCAACCAACATTTCTACAGATTGATTTTATGGGAGACGAAAACAGCGAGGTTGACCGTTTTTTTTTGTGAGGGGAAAATCATCAAATAACTTCTCCCGCCCAGGGCCGAGCGGGAGAGCGAGCTGTTCCTTCTCCTGCTCTGGGCCGAGGTCGCGGTACCTCATTGCGCTTACCCCGCAACCCCGGCTGAACATCAGCCCTTTAGAGCCCCGTCTGTGGTGGTCTATTGGCTCTTTGAGGCGCGCGCGGAACGCTACGCGCCGTGCGCTCGGGCCTGGTTCTGGTCGGGCGGCGAGCTGCCCTTACTCGCCGACCTTTGAAACTTTATACACCCGTGCTTAAGGTGGCCGGAGATCGTCCCTCGATCCCCGACGCCCGTAGTGTCGCCAGTTGCAGCGGCTGGGGCGTGAGGAGGAGGATTGCTCCCTCACGCGGGCCGCCTCTCTCTTTGCGAGCATGACTGCTTCACAAAAGGACGGCGAGAGAGACGGCGTCCCAGTTCCTCTCACTCCGCACCATGGCCTCGACTAAGGCCGGGCGCGGGAGGTCGCCGCCGCCGATCACTTCCCTGAGGATACGGCGGTGCTTAGCCCTGGCAGGGCATACCGCTACCGTATGCTCCACCGTATCCTCTAGAGCGAGGTTGACCGTTAATGGCAAAATATTGAAGGAGATGAGAGGGACATTGTTTTCTTCCTCATTAATACCTTCAAAACAGCCTTAGAAAAAATGCCACGGGAAAATCACAAATTAGTAATACTCGGCGATCGTACGCCAAGCGGGGAACATGAAAGACGTTATAATGCACCCTTAATAAACGAAGTCGCTGCCATGGTGTGTGGTGAACAGTTCGCATCGCACGATATTGTTTTTCAAACCTATGATAACACAATGATCAGGGTGTCCGACACACACAAGTTTTATGACGCACTACAATACCCGCTTATGTTTAGCAATGAGCAAGAGGGTTACGTACGAGGGTACCGTTTTCAAATAAGGGACCAGGATTGACAAAAACTAATTTGACGCGGGCGAAGCCGCGGGCGGAAGCTAGTGTTAATATAAAATTAAATTAAACCTAACCTCAAAACGTAAATAAAGCTATCACATACAGAACCTATAAGTGTACACAAAAGTCCACTTTCTTACATTCTTTCTGTCCAAGGCTCATTACGTCTGTACACGCTACGACCGACACGTAATTCTTGGCATTCGATACTAAACCAGCCCTTAAGAATTGGTTCAACTCCCTAGTTCGCCCTCGAGCGTTGAACGCCACGCCCGCTCTAACGACTATGGCGCGAAAGATCATAAACAATATAAAGATGTGGCTGTAAATCTTGTTACCTTTGCCTTAAAACAATAACCTGTCAGTGCTTGTCAGTTTTTGGCGCGAATTGTTCGAATTGCAAATGGCGGTGCCGAATTGTTTTCGTTTAAAAACGTGTTTGTAATGCTTCCATGGAAATTTTGTGACTTTCTATCGTGATTGTTTAAATTAATTATGATACATAATAGGACGGTTTATATTTTGCCAAATGAATTATTGCCGAAAAGATATGGCGATGAAAACAGGTAAATATTAATGTACATTTCATTTATATGACCTAAATTTTCTTCTTAGACGATTTTTATGTGATTTTAAATACTAACGTAGCCCACGTAGTTTATTAATTAAATTGATTTTAAGAATTTTTATAAAAAAAAGCATTTTCAAAATAACTTCAATCGTGTCAAGCTGGCACATGGCGGTATTTACCCGTCATTGGCCACCGGAAATAGGCACGTGAAACGAGGCCCTCGCTTCCGGTAGACAAAACAGTAATAACAGAGTTGTAAAAATTATAATTTTGTTATCTGATGGGGGCAGAGAGGGTTTTAATATAATAATAATAATAATTATTATATTTGTTTGTTCTATCCTTTCACGGCACCACAGGGTCCCGGACCTTTGGAAGGCGTACGAGGAGCCGAAGCCAACTCGCAGAGGCCCGTTGAACAGTTTTAATCTAAATGTGATGGGACATCAGCCGGCAATTATCCCTGTATGCACTATATAAGTGCACCCAAGGACAATCCCCGGTTGATGCAAGACTATTGTGAAATGTGGTAAAAATTGATAGGGTTATGAATATGGGTTGCTATGGACTGGTGGATATGATAACTATGGAAATACTATGGCCCCTGCCCCTGACCAATATTGATACATACGGATAAACAGGCATTCGGATATTCATCATAATATTAATAATTATGTAATTAATAATTATGTAATTATTAAATAATTATTATTATTAATATTATGATGAATATCCTTGGAATGTTCTTAGTAGTGAAGGTTTATAGTATGTAGGTACGTACAATATTATCGTCATTATTTTATTAAAATATTGAGAAGTAGACAATGGAAGTTTTGCGTTCGGTAATGTTAAAACTCTTATAGAACTAGTTAGGCATTTCTGATTGTACTATAGTTTCGTAGTATATTTTCAAAATCGACTTTCTTCATTCTTGTTTTATTTTTTCATTTTCGTTAGCTGTCATCTCACCATTAGCTCTTCAGCGTTTCCCCACTTAACTTTGAATAACTATATTAACAAACTATTCTTCTTCCAAACCGTTATTTATCACCTATTTTCAAAATCTTAAGAATCTTCTTCATTATAGGCTTGCTAGACTTATAATGGTTTATATTTATTTAACAAAAATTTTATTTTTTTCCAAAATTCTAGGCTTCCTCTTATTCCAGGGCTACCAATGCTGCACAGGTAACAAAACGATCTATATCCAAATACAAGATCAGAGAAGAATAAGTGATTGACAACTTATTCAGCACTCGCTCGCTTTGTTATAGAAAGCGACGAAAAATTTAGTTTAAGCCAAAGTAGCCACTTATGTGATGATGTGGCTAAGGCAGCGCACGGGTGATTTAAAAATATATACTTAGTTAAGTATGTGGCTTCAAACAGTGCTAAAGTTATTGTTAATAAAGTAAATATTATCCCAAAGTTATCCTACAGAAGTCTTGATTGATTATCAAGACTTCATATTCTCACTATGCGGACGGATAAAGAACCTGATACAGAATCCATTCACACAGTAAAATATTAGAAGCAGTGAAATTTGAGAACGAATCCTTAAATATCGTGCCATTTATAGAAAGATCATTCAGAGGTGTCAGTGTCTTGAATTGCCAGGACCATGCTTCCAATGCCAGGTGGCCTTTATATCCATGCTATTATGGCTTCCAGCAAGCATCAAAAAATCGATAATCGTCATCAAAATATTGTGTTGACAATAACTGTATCAGTGTTTGAAGCTACGAAACGATTTCTTATAATTACGATCCAGAAACTGTTGAACAAAATAAAACCTATTCATTATAATAACAACGTAAATTTTCTATAAAACATTATGTACTTACATAAACAAAACAAACCTTTACAGAATACTCATAAGCAACGCTTAAAACAGAGTTCATGAACACTAACTAAACTAAGTATTAACTTATAAACTTTACTGTAAATAACAAATTCGTAAGTAATAGCAGTCGTACAAACTAGTTCCAGCGAAGATAATGGACTCTGAAACTTTAAACTCATTTGTCTTTTAAAGTTACTATAAAGTCAAGGTCTAGAATGCAAAAAGACAATACAAAACTTTGAAAACTTTGCTTGTACCAACTTGGTAATGAAACTGCATTTTTGTATGTAGTGAAACGTGACAGAAACAATCTTTGCTTTGGTGCCATTAAGGCTGGGTTGTGTGTTATCTTGCACACAGGACAGGACGTGCCCGAAAATGATGTTGATCAAGCTTTGTAAAATTATGTTAGATTAGGTAGTCATTTATTTAATTATCGTGCTCAATCTATTAAATCTGTAGCTGCCATCAAAGCCAGTATTAAAAAACATCTACTACTTAACTTTATAGATGACACATGTGCTACCAAATTCTGGAAACAAATTCATTTAGCCACAAAAACGTTTACACCGACAATGACCAATGATGACAATGATGTAAACTGAAAACAAATAGAAAAGTACTTAACCTAAAAGTTCCAGTTTTAAATATTTTTACTATTCTCAGGTTCCCACAAAGTACAAGCACAACCCCTAAGCCTCCAGCGAGGACCAAGAAAGAAGCCAAAGAGACTCCACCACCTGAACAAAGAGAGACCTCTGAACCAACGGACACAAGTGAAGACAAACAGAAAGAACCAAACTTCTGCCAAAGGCTCATGAAGAAATGCAAAACAAAATGTTGCGCTTGCTGCACTAAAGCCGAAGATTCTGATGAAGATGGAGATAAAGATAAAGAGAGACAGAAAGATGATATGAAAGAAGAAAAGAGAGGCATGATGAGTAAGCTGAATTGTTGTAAAAAGCAGGTAGATGAAGAAAAGGCTGAGCAAGAAGTTAGGGATATGGAAAGGGCTGCTGGTAAAGTAAGTATTTTGATTTATTTAGAAGACATTTATTCTCGTATTGATTCGGAAAAAATAATATAATGAAATATTGTTTTTAAAGTAACCATGTAACCATGAGTAACCATGGAGTTTCTTCCTCGTTCTTCTTTATGGGAATCTACACTTTGGACCGAGCAAATAGCTTCACTAGAGGACAGACAGACAGACTGACACGCTTAAAGTTAAAGCTTGAGATACTTTTTTCCTTTTTTTGCTTGACGTTCAAAAGTGCCTAATGTGGTCTAATTGAAATATTTTTTTGATTTTGACTTTGACTTTGACTAAATAGTAACTATCGTGAAACATGAAAAAAATATAGAAAAAAACAACGTGGTCACGTAAATTATGTGAGAAAAACTATACTAGTTTCAAGTCGATGCCGCCGCAACGTCGCCGCGACCGCACGCTGCTCATGAATAAGAGTCCCGTTATGACTTGAAAATAGTGAAACTTTTCTCTTTTATTTAAATAAATAATAACTTGCTTCCATTACATTGTCTGCATCACATTAACTCACAAATGTAATAAAACCCTTGAATAAAAATTTTACTTGTATCAAAACCCTTATACATTTTTTCAATTTCCATCCACAGGCCTCGATAGAATACGAAAACGAAACGAAACCGAAGCGTACGCTACGTGATGTGTTCTGCGGTTGTTGCGGGCGACGGCGTCGTGTCGCTGACACTGGATCCATGCCGCGCAACGTTGCCGAGTCCATGTCGCCCGCGCCTGAGGAGACAGGCTGCTGCGGCAGGAAGAAGAGGCACATCGAGAGGAGGGACAGCATACTGAGTGATAGACCTCCTACTAGGTAAGATTGTTAGATATAGTTTCTTCTGTATTGAAGGTGGAGGCAAGATGTGTTGTGTTTGATGAAATAGATTGTGTGTGTGTGAACGCGTTCGCGCATAGATTGTTCTTCTATTATGTCTCGAATTACTACGATTGAAAGGTTAATGATTGATTGATTTTCTGCCATTTTGCTAAATCCACGTCAGCTGTGATATATGTATGCAGGTTCTATTTCTGCTTAAAATAAACACCGCAAAAATTTTTAGAACTGATCGAAAGGTCAGATCATGTTTGAAAATTCACTCATGATACAGACTATGAAGCAACAAGCTGGTTGATTAATTCTTAAACCTTCTCCGTGTGAGAAGAGGCCTTTTCTCAGCAGTAGGCACTTAAAGGGTGATAATGAGGCATTTTCTAACTAGATCCAATATTCAGAACCAATCACCAGGCATCAAGTTTTATTAACTTTGGACCAAACAAAGGCCATTGACATCTATCCAATATGGTCGTCATCGTGGTCGTAATGCATCAAATACCGTCGATACTAATAATGTCAGCTTGCCTATAGATTCTACAAAACTGGGTCGACCAAATTATTACAATGTCAGTAATTGAATGCAACGTCATTTTGTTAGCAAGTGCTGTGAACTAAAATCAATGTTCTTTAGAAGTTGCTCGACCTATTTAGAAGTACAATAGTACTTGCAGCTAAGGTAGAATATTCTCCTATGTCGAAGATGTGTTTACAAATACTTTCGGATCAATTATGAAACATCAGTGCAGCAGTGTAAGGGTGCCAACTAAAATCCAGTGTTAGGTTCTCAGATGGTAAACGATTTGGCATAAGCATTGTTTTTTTCTGTATTTGATTTTTTGTGTTTAGTTTTAAAATCTTGTTTTATGTTTCTTTTTCTATTTTGGCGCATTGTGCCTGGCTCCGTATTTTCCGGGTTGTCTTTGTTTCTTTCTACCGTTTACAAATCAAAGAGTTCAAGTCAAAGAGGCTTTCATTAAAAGTGCAGTCGGAAACATTATTAAAACAAAAAAAAGAAACTAAGTAAATTATATAAGGAGTGTAATGCTCACATCTTAGTTTTTCGAGACAATAACCCTGAATTGTTTTGTAACAGTTGCTGCAACAACCGCTTGTGTACGTGGTTGCGGGGCATGTGTCGGCGACACTCCGAGCAATCCTCCAGCCGGCGCACGAGCATGTTCTCGAAGAACAAGAGCATGTCGCCTACTTTACCGCCCGAGGTGAGTTTTGAAGTTGATTAAAGGTACTTTTAAAAATCAAAATACAGCGGATTGATAACAGTAAGCAAGAAATATTTAATATTTTACAATCAATTTGAAATTTCTGTCGTATATTTTTTAAAAAATCCAAGATATGAAAACAATGTAATATTAACACAAATAGAAACTTTTCTTTATGAACCAACAAAATAGGCCAAACAAATGACCCAAAACCAACCCAATTTTGACCCACACACCATCCAACAAGTCGCCAAAACATATTTTATGGCGGACGGTAATCGCGGCGGCACGCAACGCCACGCGTGTCTCAAGAAATATGACTCAAGGTTCAAGCCTGTCGGTGGTCAGTTATTAAAACTTTGTTTGTTCATAATAACTGTATACGTTTCATGGAAATCACCGAGTAATTTGAATAGAAAAGGATGTTGCATGACTTCAGTGCGACACGTAGGTACTCCAACACAATTTATTATGACTCGTTTTTTGGCGTTACTAAGAAAAGGATTAAGGTCCCACGTTGGGCGCCAACAAAACGTTAATGCCGCCCAGCATGGGGCACTTTCCTACGTCATGAATACATAGTCTCTTATTACTAACAAACTAAATGTCCTTCGTTGATATGTATAAAAACTACATATTTATTGCGTGCTAAACAGTTACAACAATATGTTTATATATCACATTATTTAATTTCTCGCGTGTAAACCTTTTCTTAGGCGCGATTTTAATCTGTTCTCCATAAATAATTATAAATAAGTAAACGCTTACTATTTATATGAAATGGGTTAGTGTAAACAAGGTCGGTTGTCTAACAATAGGAACGAATAATCGATAGCAAAATTAAATGTATGATTAGCGCATTTTAATCGCAGTGTCTATTCGACTGTTAACTGTAACGCATACGTTTACGTAACTGATTGATTGCTTACATAAACAATTTCCAAAAAAACAATTTGAACTAAATAATTTATCAGTGACAATGTGCGGAAATAAAATACGTTTCAATGTATAAAAGAAAACGGCACGTTAAAAGAGTGAACGCGAAAATCAGTAGCTTAAGACAGATGCCGAATTTGTACTTAACGCCACGACTTCAGAATTATCTGTACAGTCTACCGCGAGAGATTTATTCAAGAAATCCAAACTACCCAATCACAATGCAGGGTAATAACAAGCTTAGAGTAACTCCTATACCTTCCCCAAGGCCGTCGATACAGATTTCCCCTCGTGGAACCCCTAACCCGTCCCCCATGCCTTCACGGAAAGCTTCCAGAATCCTCATCACTAAGGATTTTATGAAGAAAGATGTGGATATTGAAGAAGATATTGAGGTAGGAATTCACTTAGTTTTGTCATGTAGAAAAATCAAGAAACAGTTTTTGGTTGTACTAGTTGCTAGTTTTAGAACGTTGAAGTTTTTCAGGTGTTAGGTTTCTGGCTCAACAATGGATTCTTAAATAATGTTTTTTTCGAGTTACTATTTCAATCCAAGTGAGGTGCCTATTGTAAATTCGCTGTGATCTGGTTTTCTGAAATACTTGATGTGATACAACTGTATTATTTAGAATAAATGGTTCCTAGGACACAATCATTAATTATAAAACAGTATAAAAAACATGAGCAAGATAACCATGCTGATTACAATAAATAAACATATACTAAAGAGTACAACTTCATTTTTTTTCGTCGCCATATTAAAATGGCATTAGCAATACGTTAAAATGCGGCATTGAAATATTACGGTCAGCGGTTATAGCGAGCAGTGTCGTCATATGCCATGTCACAAACCTGACGAGTTTGTTAACACACGTTAAATCTAACTTGTAGAAACGAACCGAGGTCACCCACACTACATTTGAACCATTTCCCTTTGAATATATGTTATTCTAAATCTAGTTAACTGCTTAATATATTGCCAAAAATGGTTTTGGAGGTTAGGTGTTTTTATGCTCTAGACATATACACACATGTACACTTCGCGTTTAAATGTGATGACAAGCAAAAAACAAAGCTGATTAAATAACTTTCAGTTGTATTAAAATTTTGATTAAAAGTGCTTTCAAACTAGATGTGAAATAACGTCTTGGAGAAATATGATGCGTCAAATCCTGTCTTTTTATTGGGTGATTGGAGTTTTCGATTTTCTTTACCAATCACCCATTCACCTATAATAAGTTCTACTACGTTCGTTCGTTCGTTCTACTCGTCTATGATAAGTTCATTGGCAGCATCAACTATCTTTTTGCCAGATAAGGGATACAAGATAACTGGTTGTTTATAAAAGTTTTTGGAAATAGCTTGCTTATTATTATCACATTCGACTTATGAAAATATTTTTGATAATTGGATCTTACATTGCATGGGACTTGCGACTGAAATATACGTCATCGTTATCGTCAATGTTCTAAAGAAATAGGTACCTACGACAGATTCTAACAAGCTAATTGGGAACAAAAATACTGCTATATTTTTCATACATTCAAAATTTAAATTACTAGATTAATTCTTGTAGATCTCATTTTGGACATAAATAATATGACAGGTTACATGAATTTCCCTATTTTCACCAAAATTTGGTTGATATTCTCAGGACACCCGGACGAAGTTGGACACATCTCTGGTGGAGCACACAAGCGTGATGCGTGGCGCTATCCCCGTGCTGCCCATAGTACTCGCCTACTTCTGTCTCTTCTGCAACATCGTTGTACCTGGACTTGGTAAGATCTTCCACAGTTTTTAGTGCCCATTAATTTCAATTGAAGTTTTCTTTTCTCTTATGTTGTGCGACAGTATGTACGGTTATTGTTTAGCTATATTGTTAGTTTTTAGGTTTTTGCTTTTTCGCCTTCTCCATCAGTGTGAATTATTCAATATTCACATTTTATAGACAGCTTACAGACCCATAAACCAATGTTCCAACAAAATGGTAACAACATGTATTTACTTATAAAATTACAAGTTTACACATACATACTATATATGTAGTTTGAAAAACAAGTAAAGGGACGGAAAAAATACAAACAATTTAGAGTCGATAAATAATACAAGTATGTTTATCACCGAATTACCTACAATCGTGACAACCGGCTTTTCGATTTCAGCCGGGATTGCAGGGTAAGCGCAACAAGACACCGCAGCCTAGGCCTAGAGCAGGAAAAGGAACGGGGGTTTTTTGGTTCATAATTTTCTCGAACATTATCAAAATTATGGCAGAACTCCACTGCGAAACAAAGGCAATTAGACTTCACCTTTTCTCACTCCCAGTGTGATGCGAGTATGAGTGTCAGATTGATACTGATTAACCCTTACCCTGTTACTTACTCCTCCTGCTAAAGGCCGAGGTCGCAGTTCCTTATTAGGCTTGCCTCACAACCACGGCTTAACATTGGCATAAAAACTTGTTATAGACATTTTGTCTAATTTTCACAAAACTGATTGCTCATTGAAACTTATTGTACATCTGCAGGTAGTATATTGAGCGGCCTATTCTGCCTGTGCTTCGGTATACCAAGGTTTGGAGTCCACGACGGAGCTAAACACAGGATAGGTGAGTCAAAAGACTTAATTTTGTACTCAATAATATTTCTAACGACCTTGTAAGAAGAATATGAAGATTACCTATTCAATTAAAAGTGGCACGCGAAACAGTTAACTTCGTCATTTTTTGGAAATTGGTCAAATCAATGATTCGAGATCCTGGTGGCCGGCAGTCTAAGGCTCGTGCATTTCACGCATAAATAAGCGGTTTCAAACCTCGCAAGCACCAATGTGACTTTTTGTATTTTTTTTAGTGTATTTAGAAACCACTGATAAACGGTGAAAGGAAATATCGAGAGGAAACCTGGACTTATAATTTCTAATTATACTTTTGAAATCACCAATCAACCTTGAGCAATCGTGGTGATTAATGCTCAAACGTTCTCTGTGTTAGAAGAGGCCTTTGCTCAGCAGTGGGTACTTATAAAGCTACATGCTTATAGAACTCCTAATGTTTCCAGGGTCGTTCGTGATCAACTTGCTAGTTGGTTGTGGTCAGCTGTTCACGGTGCTATTCTGTCTCGTCGGCTGGGGCTGGTCCATCTGGTGGGGCGTTATCATGGTCAAGACTTCACGTAAGTTCCTTATCAATACCAGATGTTAAGTCACTTTATAAATTATCAGAATCAACTCTTATAGGCTTTAGCTGATAAGACAAAACTGAACTAGATCTTCAGACCTTTTTATCAAACTGTGACAAGTTTGATTATTTGATTAGCACTTGTTATCTGTAAGTCCTTTTATTTCACTTATGTTACGCATATGTATATATGGCGCCCATTTGTATTATAAATTAAGTTGGCGCCCACCGTGGGACTAGTTGCGAATCTATTGGCGCCCAGCACGGTACTGTTGTAAAATTCTATCAATTTGATCCGCTTCTCTTTACTCTTATATTTTTTGTTGTTTTTAGGTAAATACCGCAAACTAAAAAGGGAAGCGGCAGCTGCAGAAGCAGAAGCAGCGCCTCCTGTGACAACTAACAATCATACAAGAGCGTAACACTTGACGTGAAACATCTAATTACGTATAGTATATGTTAACTTCACAACAAGAATTAACTTTTTTAACAAATTCTTCGTAAATTAACAAACGCTGTGACCAATATTATTCTTAGAAAATGAAAAAATGAGTATTAGAAACCACTGCAGTTGTGGTACCTACAAGAATTCAGACTTGAATTCTAACTTTTTTACAGTTTTCCCTGTAAATATAACAATAATTACTTGTATTATGACACATTAATTGTAAAATACACAACAGTGTTCTAATTAAAATAAATTATATATTTTATCTGTGCAAGTGTCAGTACTGCCAACCAAATGCAAATAAACATTCTAAATAAAATTGTAAATATAATAATTAAGGTATTTGAATCGTAATTTCGGAATTATAGATCTAGAATTTATCTTTGAAAATTTGAAATGCGTAGTTTAAATTCGAAATGGGAATGTTTCGAAATTTTGTGGAAAAAGAAATATTTTAAAACGCGAAAGAAATTATGTACCAAAAAATGTACATTTTAAAATTATCTGCGGGTCAGATTTTTAACCGTTAATTTAACGGGTTTCCGTAAAAACGTTGACTTCCAAACGAAGTTTTCCGACCTTGAGGTCACTTTTTAACTTTTACTCATAGATTTAACGTTATTGTATATTATAATGGGCCCCAAGTGCTTTCTATGAATAGTATTATTACTATACATTTAAATTCTGCAGTATCATGATCTAGAGGAACATTTTCTCAGTTTTTTTTATTTTTTGTGAGAAGCAATTGGTTTAAAATGAATTAATTTTATTGTAATACCATTGGACTCATTTTAGTAAAAATGTGTGAATGATTCTTTATAAAAAAATACTTAAGACGTCGGTTTTACATCACGCAAGTATGTATCGTATATAAAACCTTTTCACCTCCTTTAAATCATGAGACTGCATTTAAAAAATAGGACATAAAAATCTTTTGTATATGACCAAACTGATATTTCTAACGTAGCGATCACAATTAACAATATTTTTAGCAACGTCCGCTAACAATGCGATGAAAATGTAGTTTTTTGACATTTTTCCAAATATTAACGCTTTGAAGTAAATTTTATTTTAAAAACGACCGTTATTTTTGAAATTGGAGGTTAGAATTTGAGCGGGAACGGCAATTAATGGCTTTTACTTCAAATCAGTAATTCAGTTTTTTTCATTTTGATTATATGGAAAATATTTAAGACACAGACTTTTTGAAATAAATTTTCACAACATATATTTTCTTTGTTGTTTCCCGCCTAAAAAGTGTAACGTAAAAGTATTGATAAAGTATTTAATTTGACTTCCAGTTTATTATAAATTGGCATGGCCATTATGGAGTTGTGATTTTCGGAAAGCAGAAATTGGTTGTAATTATAAGTAATCTTTGTAGAAATAATGGAACAAGATCATCACTAATTAAAAAATAAAACCTTATTTAATTTTTAAATAGATGTTACAAATTTTTCTGGCCGCAACATTCTGAAATCTGGATATTGTGTTTTTTTCTTAAATTGACATTAAAATTTATTTTTACGCAGACAAGGAAAATAAGCGTCATTTTGAATAATCCATCTTATTTGTGACATTTATGTTGTTACCGCGTGCGAGTTAAAAATGTACTGAGTGAAAAGCATGAGGAACTGATAGTAAAGTCCCCTAAGATTGGAAAAGCTTGTATTTCATTATTTCTTCAACGTTTACAAGTGAAAAAAGTAATTTTGGTTGTAATGTTAAGCTACCGAAGTGATTATATTATATTATGATAATAATAATTAAGATATTTATGGAAACGTTCTTCCAGTACAATTTATTTGTTAATTAACAAATGATTAATTGTTATAAGTTGATTATACAATGTTTATGAATTATTATAGTTGCTTGTACAACGAATAATCAATAAAGACGATTATAATTTCTCTTCTCGTTTTTTTCCTAACCCAAAGATTGATTTTTATTTTAGGTGAAGTTTCGGCAAACGAGCAAACTGATTAGGTAGGTACCTGATGGAAAGCAATCGGCGTCGCGCATCCATGGAAGGAGCACATCCTGGAGGAGTTACGAGTGCGTTGCCGATATTTTGGGGATTAGGGATTTGGAGATTTTGGACATGGGAAGGGATTGGGGTAGGGGAAGGATAAGGCCTGTGCCTAACGGTGTGGTTATTTCACGCCGGTTTTCTATAAGGCCGTGGTATCACTCCGGTCGAGCCGACCCATTCGTGCCGAAGCATGGCTCTCCCACACTTATTACTATGCATATGCATGACTGCACGGTTGGCGCGGTGACTGGGCAACTGGCTGCCGCGCAACGTGTCGCGGGTTCGATTCCCGCACGGAACAACACTTTGTGTGATCCACAGATTGTTGTTCCGGGTCTGGGTGTGATGTGCATGTGAAATTGTATGTTTGTAAACGAACCCACGACACTGGAGAAAATCCTAGTGTGGGGCAAAGTTTAAAAAAAAAAAAAAAAAAAAAAAAAAAACTATTACCACTATATAAGTATATGTACCACGCACAAAGATGCAAACGAAATGATGAATGATCTTTTGCAACCTACAAACCTTCTAGCATCGGGCCTGTGACTCCTCTCGTGTTGGCATTGTTGTCCCTAGGTGGCGCTGATCACATACCATCCGTCAAACTGCTCCTTTTCCCCCATTTAAATAAAACAAACGCAATAATGTATAGAGGCCCGGGGCAGAAGAAGTTAGGATGGTTTTCAGTCAGTTGTTGTGGTGACGATAAAATCTCCATCCGCTCCAAATTGGTCTTCTATCCAAGTCGTTTTTCCGCATACAGGGACGCCGTTCGTCCAGCCAGTCCCAAACTTGGGTGGACCAGTTTTCCAAGATTACGCCATCCGGTTCGGATTCTGCATGTGGTGATGATGCAGGATGCTTAGGCAGATGCAGATGATCTGAGTAGAAAGCTGGTGGCAGTTTCTTCACCCATCAGCCACTCACATTTCCGTTGTCCCTATGTTGCTGTTCCTAGCAACCATTCCCGAGGGCCCGGTCGGTGAGTTGGCGAGCCTTCACCTGCCATTTTTACGTGTATTTATTACATTGTTTCGGCAGGTGCCATAGTCATTCCATAGTTCCTATCAAACCAGCCCATAGCAACCCACGCCCATAGTATTTTACTTTGTTTCCATTATCCGCAATAGTTCTACACTCACCGGGGACTGTCCTTGGGTGCATTTCCATAGTGCATACAGGGATAGTCGCTCGTTTGTGTCCCATTTCATTTAAAGTTGTCTAAAGGGCCTCTGCGCAGTTGGCTCCGGCCCCTCGTACGCCTTCCAAATGACCGGGACCACAGGGTCCGAGTAAAGACATACATAATAAAACGTGATAGTTATAAGACTTAACTGAACTAAGTAGTGTTTGTACAAAATTATAATAACAAAATCTCAATAATATGCATGGCATTATTTGACTGTATGCAGTCGCATCCATCTCCAATATCCCTTCGTTTAGCATAATTCTGGTACACTTGGCCACCACCACCAGCGTTTCTCTGGGGGGAGTTTTAAACTTCAACACTCCGCATTGATCGGAGTTCCTCTCATCCAGAGATAAAAATCCTGCAGTTGTATTACTCGTATACACAACCTACGTGTTATCGAAGTTCCTCTCAATACTCTCGATGCGTTGTTGTCGTATATGACAGCTCCTGCAGCCACCTTGCAAGTTTGTAGGATGGCTTAGCAATTCCGCTAGTTGACCTGCTTAGTTTCCTCTACTACTGCAACAAACTCGAGAAAAGCGTTTATGACATGATCTCGGAGTGGCGGCACGTGCATCGACGCAGACAAACTTGGCCCATAGATGCTCTTGTTGGTCTGACCTGGATTGAGTACATTGTTGAGCAGGTCTTTGAGTGGATTTGGGTGTACCTTTCCCGAAGGGTGACGAAATAAGTCCCGTAAGAGCACATGGCTGATGTTATTGCCCACATTCTGCTTCGCGATTCGAGATTTTCCTATTCCTTGTTTTGCTGTTCTTCTTGCAGCGAGCGCTCTGTTGCAAATACCGTTGTTTTAAGCGCTCTGAGCCACTCGGAGAACCCACGTTTGGCATAACCTGAACTAGTTTTTTGAGGAAACTCAAGTCCTGGCCCCTGTCCTCGTATACTATACCTTCATGATATTCTGCTTTAATACAACCAATTAGGTCCACTATAATCCCTTTTTTATAAGCCACCGCTGCAGCTCTTCGCTTCTCAGATGTTTGTTTTGAACTATGTATCAGTATGGCAAGGCAGAACATCCACTATCTGAAGCTGTGGGTTACTCTTTCTGGCTATTTCCACTTTAACCTTAAGATCTTTTTTTGGACCTGACTTTGTTTGTAGTGTACCAACTTCATATCTTTGGTGCTACAGCTTATAACGAAATTTCGGTTCGTTGAAATTCTCACCTTTTCCACTTTAGCTCCGGTTTTTTACAACCCAGAGCTACCCTTATTTTCTCAATTACATTGTCCCCTGTGTTTTAAGTATGTTGAACTGATAATAAGGGTGTGGTTTGGTCTGTGGACCGCTTGGAACTTGCGCGTTCGTAGGTTGTCGGATTTTCAGCTGGGGTTGCGGGTTAAGCGCAATGAGTCACCGCGCCCTCGGCTCAGAGCAGGAGAAGGAACGGGGGTTTTTTAGTAAGTAAGAGTCTGACACTCTCTCTCGCCTAACCCTGGGCGGGAGAAGTCATTTGATGATTTTCCCAAACAAAAAAAAAAATGTTAATGCTGCCCACGCTGGGCGCAGATGGGGGAGGCATTCGCACTTTGAGCTGCCTCATCGTCCGCAGTTCCGATGATACTGCATCCAGACACCCGGTGACGGTTCAGCCCATTACCGGGTGTCCTTTTCAAATTGAGGAGATTGCGGTGGCAGTTTAGAAACATCTTTGATGTGGTCATCAAAGATTGACGACATTCTATAGCTGTCTTAAATTCTCGCTTCATATTCCCGGCTGGTGTTCACTACTCCGTCTAAACATCACCCCTATTGGGTCACATCTGTAATCGTCAATTGAGGCCTTGCTATGGCGGGAGATCGTCAGGCGATTCCGGACTACCAAAGTGTGTTATCCAGCTGGCAAATAAAAATTAAGGGACTCACCCAAAACTTGGCAAAATTGGTGAAAATATAGTGTAAAATAAAACTCAAATAAATTTTACAATATCACTTTATTTGTTTACGGTCCATATTTATAAATAGTAGCGTTGTTACCGAGTACAGACGATTATGGCGTGGTTCACAAACATTGCGCATACTACCGTGACGCATCTAATCTATGGTATATCTGAGGCACACACAACACATACAGACAAACAGACAGACGTTTTTACTTTCATCCATATTTTATTTGGTAAGAAAATCACAATAATCAGTCATTAAAATGAAAAATTCAAGCCTCGTGTCTTTACGACAACAATATTTTGACATTTCGCAAACAATGTTACCAGATTAAAAAATGTTGATGACATATTTTTTTTTTACTTAAGATACTGAAACTCCTGTTACATCTACATGATAAAGGCGTCATTTTTATATGTTACTTTATATTTAATATAATTATTATGTAAAATTTGAAAATAAAATGTATGAGATGTGTGTTGCCCGCGTACAATATATAAATACACATATATCTACCACGGTATAATGTGACATTGAGTTTTCTATAGACTTGAGTTTTTATGTGAGAGGACATTTTTATTACAATTTAACCTAAATCCTTTTATTATTTTGAGACATTCTAGTATGAGAGATATTTTTTAAACGTAAATTGTAAATTAGTTACAAAACGTAGTTATTTGCCTACAAGCGTAGTTTTTTTTTATGTGATGAAACGACCTACGAGCAGAAGCTTACCTGATGGTAAGCAATCAGCGCCGCCCATACCCGATACAACGGCAAGTTACGTGTGCGTTGCTGACGTTTTTAGGAATTTAGGGATTGGGGGAGGGGAAGGATTAGACGTCCGGTAACGTCACTCACACGGCGAAACGCAACGCTGTGTTTGTTTACGCTGGTTTCCTGTGGGGCCGTGGTATCACTCCGGTCGAGCCGACCCACTCGTGCCGAAGCATGGCTCTCCCACACTTATAGTATTTTGTATATAGTATTTTGCATTCTGAATCTTAATCAGACACGATGAAAAGGCTAGATCGCTAATTATCTTTGCTATCTTCATAATAATAAATCCCCTAACATAAAAACCAAGTCGATTTCCCTAAAGTGAAAGTGATTTCACACTAAAAATCCAGAATCCACACAAATTGTAATTTCTACATAGTCATGTGTAGTACATTATACATACATTTGATTATTTTTAAGTCTTAGTTTGCAAAATATCGCATAACTTACGTTTAAAAAAATTGTTGGCAACCCTAAAGTACTGTTTGACGGTGTTTAAGGAAAATGTTGCTATCAGAAAAAAATAACTACCAATTTTAATAGTATTTTGGTAAAATTTGGAAAATAATTATGAGATCATGTTGTCAAACTTTTGACTTTGTTTTCTTGTAATGTAAATTTTAACTGAAAATAAAAAACAGAGACTCCGAGATAAAGTGATTACGACTTAATTAACCGTGAAAAGATTTCAATGTCCCAGGTTCGTTGTAAAAAATAGATTTGCGATAAAAAAAATGAATTAATATTTTTTGTAAACAGAACTTTAGGGTTGCCAACGTGAAATATTTACATCATTTATTTAATAAGATAAACGTACGTCGTTTAGTAAAAATTGCACAAATTGTGAATTCTGATCACGTGGTATAATTTAGCACCGGCCGATTAAGTCGGACGCAAACTTGCGACAAGTCGAACGATTTCAAAGAAAAATTAAGAAGTAGAAATGACAGCAATTTAATAAATAATAAATGACTTGGACTGTTGACTAAATTATTTAATTATTATTAAGTTTCCATCTTGTCGCAGTTTGTCCGATCTTCAAACAATTTAGATTCACTTCCCGATTTAACAAATACTGAACATTCAAGGCAAGATTTCATTTTGTAGCGCAAAAATAAATATCTTCAACTAAAATACGCTATTATTTACATTTAAATAATACAAAAAAAATTGATCGCATTACAAAAAATGTCTACTTAAAAAAATATAAAATAAACTTTTTGACCATAGCGTTACAAGAATACATTGACTATGGCAGATTGTACTTAAATATCACCATTCTATCTAAAAAAAGGGGGGATTAAGGGGAGGGGGAGTAATTAGGAATAATAAAAAAATATTCTTTGGTAAACCTATACCAAAAATTAAACTAAGCCATATTCGTAAAACTAACCTAAAGTGTTGGTTCTAAACGCTCACATCGAAGTCTCGACATACGGTGCGATTTAAAGTCGCAACTACTTTTGTCGACGGTGTGAAAAAGTACGATTTTTTTACATAGGCAAACACGAAATCCCTTTAACCATTGGACATTTCAAAATACGATTTCTTTCTTTTTTTAAATTACACGTTTAAATAAGAAAATTACAACTGAAATTATGGTTTTGAAAATTAACTGTATTTGTTAAGTATTAGAGCTATCACCAATCCGTGATGATTGATGCTCAAACCTTCTCCGTGTGGGAAGAGGCCTTTGCCTAGCAGTAGGCACTTAAAGGCTGATGATAACGGCAATTGTAAATATTAATTTTTATTATAACTTTCGTGAGACATTCTAAATTATTTATTATGTTTTCGGCTTACTCACGTAATAATTTGACGAGATACTAGACTACTGCGCTGCTACTACAGTACAGCGCGACGGTCGCCGAGTCGCGTGTCGCGGAATGCTGCTCATGAATATGGGCCTCCAGCATGGCTTGAAACTAGTCGAGTATCTCGTCAAATTATTACGTGAGTAAGCCGAAAACATAATAAATAATATTAATTTTATTCACTTAAGAAATATTGCGAACAGAAAATCTTTATAACAGGGGTGCGACTAACCGCAACGTATGTTTAAAATAACGACTCACGCCCGGTTTCCGAAAGGCCGATCAATGTTAAAATCAATTAAATCTCTTGTCAAGTCATCTGATTGGTTGACTGAATTATCAACAACCAATCAGATGACTTGACAAGAGATTTGACACCTTGTTAGTTGATTTTAACATTGATATCTCAAGTGAATCAACTGTGTAAAACTTCTACTAGTCTAGTTTAAGTCACCACGGGACTCTTATACCGGTCAGTAGCGATGTGGCGTAGACGCGCAGGCTGCTCGTAATAATAAGAGTCCCGTCGTAACTTGAAACTAGTAGAGCTTTTCTCACTTAATTTCAAATAAGTCGATATTTTCAATCAATTTAGTATGTCTAACGATAGTTATTATATACAATCGCAACACGTGTACCTAATAGAAAAAAGGCCTAACTGAATCAAGAAGGAATTTGAATTTCAAAATTTATTTCCTATTAATAAGATTCAATTTTGAAATACCCTCCTTTACGAGTTATTACCTTTTCTATAAAACTGTCGGATGTTAACCTTCATTTCTCATAGTTTAGAACCAAAATCTATATATAGTCAAATGCTAAAATACTCGTACATATAAAAATATATAGGAAACAATTATTTTGAGTATTATCCGTCCTACGAATGAGGCCAAAACGTAGTTTAAAAAGCCACGAGCGATTTTTCAATGGCGACTAACCACAGATAAATATGGAAGGGATACAGTATGACATTAACTTTTCAACTTTTGCGTTACATGTTAACAACATACTATTAAGCAAGTATTAACGCGAATAGTAACTATTAATCCTCGTAAAAAATTATCGCCCGAATGCAGGGAGCTGTGACATCGCATCTTCAGTCTGCGACCACGACCTGAGCAACCAGGTCGAATCGTCAAGCCTACCAAGGTTTGAGCCAAGGTTGCGGAGTAAGCGCAACGAGGCACCGCGACCTCGGCCCAGAGCAGGAGAAGGAACAGGGGGGGGGGTGGAGGTTAGTCAGTAAGACTCTGACACTCCCGCCCCACCCTGAGCGGGAGAAGTCATTTGATAATGTACAAAGGCATACGCCTACTAAGGTATTTGAATAAGTTTTTTTCGCGTTAATACCCGCTTAATAATATGTTGTTAATATTAAATTAAATAAATGTATGAATGACATTAAGTTTATAAAGGGTGACTGGTAATTAGTGACCTATATAACAAACACGTTACCAAAGAAACTTTTTTGATTTCTCCGTGTGAGAACAGTAAGTACAAAGGATTATTTTACTAAGTCTAATATTTTTTTTACATAATTGCCCATAAAGTGTTTGTAATGAAATACAAAAAACTAAACTAAAATTACAACATAATTAGACTTTTAAAATACTTAATGTCATTCATAGAATAATATAATACTGCGATTAATCGCCACTGACTAATCGCAAGTGCGTTCATAACCTAACTGATCAACGTACGTATTATGCTAAATATTTAAGCACGTCAAAATTAACGAATAAATAGGTAATAATAATTATTATTAAAGTAAATCAAAAATAATTTGGAATTATAGAAATTGTATTTTTGGATAAGGTATTGTAGTTTGTTAAAACTATGTGTCATATAAGTTTATAGGAAACTTATGTAGAGATTATGAATCAAGCCCAGAGAATTAGAACTTTCTTTTTAAAAAGGGAAACAGGACGCGAAATGTATTAACGACAAAAACGTCGCATGATAACTTAAAAAAAAAACATTTACAATTTTTTAAATTAAAAAAATAAATTAAGTGTTACTATTTTTTGTTATTTTTTTCAACGATTTTCCATCAATGGACTGTGTGAGGTGAAAACTTTGTAAAAATGTCTTATTTCCCAAAAGTAGAGGTGAAAATATTTATTTTTTAAATCTTTTTTTCTTTTAGATGTAAAGAGTCTCGTCAAAGGGGATATTGTAATATCATAGAGTGGTAACATATTTTATATGTGATGGTCGGCAAACAAGCAGACAGATTACCTGATGGTAAGCAAGTAGCGCCACTCCTGGACACCCATGGCAAAATTGGCAGAGCGCGTTGCCGACCATTTAGTTCTTTTAGGGACATTGGGGAGGTAAAGGATTGGGCCTCCGATAACCTCACTCACACGGCGAAACACAACACTGTGGTTGTTTCACGCCGGTTTTCTGTGAGACCGTGGTATAACTCCGGTCGGGCCGACCCATCCGTGCTAATTACTCCGTTTAATTCTCAACCTATTAAACTCAAAATATAATAGAAATAATTATTTCATCTAAAACCTTAAGTTCATATCTCACAAGTCCACTTATGTAAAATCTTGGGTTAGTGCGTACAGGGTGTTCCAATACTTTCATTCCACATATATTCCACGTATACATGGTGTTCACTGCAGGATGCAGTTGTTCTTCCTCTGTATCTCGACTTGAGATAGATTGCGTTCTATTTCATCATCATCTGCTATTCTGTGGACAGAAAATTAATTATATAAACATGCATACTTCACGATTGGCACAGTGGGTATACAGTACTTTGTAACTAGTCAAATTCAATACTTTTATCCAAACGTCAAAAACGATACTTTTCTGTGAAATTTGTATGAAACACTGAGTTATGATGACGTCAGAGTATTTAAGAGTCAAATAGTTTACTTATTTCTTCAAAATGTCTAAACTTTAATGTATCAATCGATCGATGATTTATTCATCGTTATTTTTCAATATTTTATTGTATTGAAGCGTCGAATTAATTTATGTTTGAATTAATTTGACGTTCGTGTCGCGGGCTCAATTCCCACACGGAACAATACTTTGTGTGATCTACAATTTTTTGTTTTGAGTTTGGGTAGTATGTGAAATTGTATGTTTGTAAACACACCAACGATACAGAAGAAAAAACTATTATGGGGCATCATTGTGAAAAAAACGCCAATTATATTTATAAACTAGTAGAACAAAATGTAATTTACTGTTTTATGGTCTTAAATAAACAAAATTAAATGGAGTTAAACTTACGCTCTCTCTTGCTCATCCATTTCTTGTACTAGCCTGTCTCTCTCGTTGACAGCTGATAATAGTTCCTGTAATAAAACAAGAAAATATTAGTAATACGGTAGGTTCCAACTAGTCAAATTCGATACTTTTATCCAAATGTCAAAAATTTCTATGAAACTTTTCTATGAAAAAATCTATTGTACTACTACTACTACTCATAGATTTTTTGCATCAAATAGTTGCGCCAAATGTTTATTCCAATGATAACATTTATCTGACTATTGAAAAATCAGCCCTTAGTAAAAAACATTCCAAGTGAATCATAAATAGGTACTTTTGTAGTACCTACTTATGGATAAAATTAAATTATAGTTAGAATAAATGATTTTGACTTTGACTTTCACATACAGGATGTTATTTTCGTCGTCGTAGTTTGATCGCGGGACATTTTCAAGGACCCGATATTCGGCTTCCGGCTTCGCCCGCATGATGCGATGTATATCATAATATGAGATAGATAAAAACTAGCTTATCCGTCCAGACTTTTTGGCTTGATTGAGTAACAAACATCCAAGCAACGTAACTTTAGCATTTATAATATTATAGTAAGAAGTAATATGAGAACTGATTGATTATTATGCATGGATAAGTAAAAGTTCTTTTTAAGATTTTCAGATTGGTCTGATGGTTGAAAGTCGTTTAATTGAGCACCAGATTCGGGTTCTTGGATATTACGAGTGTGTCCGTGGCATCACCGGGCCCTATCAGAACACCAGCGCTGCGGTATTTTTACTTTCTGGTGAATTATCGCAGGATATGCATATGATAGTGGCCTTTTTGACCTCGCACAGGTCTTTTATTTTATCTTTTAATCTTTTTTGTTGTTGTTTTGTTTATTATTCTTTTTTGATTTTTCTTTTTGTATATATAAAATGTAATTGTTATTGTATATATTTTCTGTGTGAGTCTCAAATAAATGTATTTTCTTTCTTTCTTTCTTTCTTTAATTGAGCACCAGAATCGAGTTCTTGGATATTAAGAGTGCGTGTCCTGACCTGCAGCAGTAGCCTCTCCCTCCGTTTCTGTCCGGGAGTCTTCCTCCAGTCGTCGACGCCCAGCGACAGGCGCAGCTCCCTCGCCAACAACTCGCAGCGACGACTCAGGTCCTCCTCCTGTTCACTGCGGGAGGACCAACCATATACATCAAAAAGAAAGGTAAATAAATATCATTTACGTACATAATATATGTAATATGGCATTACAAATCCTGCTGATATAATGTTGGTAATATTTTAGTTTTTTGTGTTCTAAGGTTGGCAGCTCTGTGTTAGAATTATGAGTGAGACACATGTTTCGTTTTACCTTTTGCTGCGTCATTAATTAATCTACGTTTATTAATTGAAATTTAAAATGAAAAAAAAAAGTCGCTTTCTCTGTCCCTATATTCCTATGTATACTTAAATCTATAAAACTAGGCAACGGATTTTGATACGGTTTTTTTAAATTGATAGAGTGATTAAAGAAGAAGGTTTACATGTAAGTTAGTAGTAGTAATCGCGCTAGTAATATCTATACTAATATTTTATTTTTATTTTATTTATTTATTTAATAAAGGTACACCAACAGCTTCTGTATATAGCAAATTAAATAAAACAATGAAATATTAGGTTTTGGCCTTATACAGTCGCCAATTACAGGTAACCAGCATTCTTAAAAATAAAGTGATAACCTAGTAGAGTAAGAACGAAACTATCTATTACAATAACATAATTAGAATTATATAAAAAATATTATAACAATATTAGAATTGTAATATAATTAAACAATGAAATGGAACATGAAATTAGAAAATAAGTAGGTAGGTATACAGAAATGCAAGGAATGAGATCAGTAGGAAATACTTAATTCTACTTAAACTTACATTACATACTAACAGAAACATAACTGATTAAGTGGTGAGGTTCGGGATTCAATATATTATTTGGGTTTTAAAGACTTTTACAGAATCGTGATATATGTCAACATTTGGAACGGATTTTATAAAATAATTCATCTCTCGGGTAAGTCTATTGAGAGGCGAGTTTACTCCTAAATTTGTGTTCGATGCTTTTGTGTGGAATAGGTGTGTAATGGGATATCTAGGTATGTTATGTGGTACTTTAAGACCTATCTGCTCAATCAACTTGCAGCAGTCCAGCTTATTATTGACCAATTTGTAAAGGAACATAAGATCCTGCGTCAGTCGCCGGTTACGTAGAGTAGTCATGTCATAGCGTTTAATACGTTGTTCGTATGGACACCGTGTAATATTATAAAGCTGCAGAGTTTCTTTGTTTTAACGCGCTAATCTCCGGAGTTACTGGTTCGACTTGAATACTTCTTTGTTTGTTAGTCCATTTATTGAGGCTAATCACGCTATGATCTTTAAGAGCTGAGCAACGGGTGAAACTGTGTGAAAGTAGCTAGCTAGTACTAGCTATACCCGCGGGGCTTCACTCGCTGCTCGACTCCATTTTATCGTAGCGTGATGTTTTATAGCCTATAGCACGCAGGAACATTGTAGCTATATAAAAAAAATTGGTAATCCGACCAGTGTCTCCAAAGATTACTCCCTACATACAAACTTACAAATTTTACCTCTTTATAATATTAGTATAGATAATAAATATTATACGAACAGTATATTAAGCTGCATCTGCCTCCGTAGCAGCGCGTTCTTCTTATTAACCAAGTTGAACCACTGAGACATCAGCCGATCTTCCTCCTGTAAGTAAACCATACAAAATCATATATTTATCAAAAAAATAAAAAACTATTTTCCTTCTATATACGTTAAACATCATCATCATCATCAGCCTATAAGTGCCCACTGCTGAGCAAAGACCTCTTCTCACACGGAGAAGGTTTGAGCATAATTCATCACACTTGCTTAATACGGATTGGCGGTTTCAAACTTATAATTAGAAATTATTAAATTAAGTCCAAGTTTCTCCACGATGATTTTCTTCAACGTATGTCAGTAATAAATTATATTAATAAAGGCTAGATAATGTTAGTCCTAGGATATAGGAAAGGTACAAGGTTACCGGGTTAGTAGGAACTTGGAAACAGGACGAAAATATATTACTCCACATTCTCTGCAAAGTTAAGAAATAATAAACATTTTTACTTTAATAATGTAACGCTATGTTTCTTAATAGCGTTATGTTTCGCTATGAAAGTAACATAGCGTAGGGTAGGTAGTGTAGAATAGGTAGGGTAGGTAGCGTAGGGTAGGGTAGGTAGATTAGGGTAGGTAGAGTAGGGTAGGTAGAGTAGGGTAGGTAGCGTAGGGTAGGGTAGATAGATTAGGGTAGGTAGATTAGGGTAGGTAGAGTAGGGTAGGTACCGTAGGGTAGGTAGCGTAGGGTATGTAGAGTAGTGAAGGTAGAGTAGTGAAGGTAGAGTATGGTAGGTATAGTGGGGTAGGTAGCGTAGGGTAGGTAGAGTAGGGTAGGTATAGTGCGGTAGGTAGAGTAGGGTAGGTAGCGTAGGGTAGGTAGAGTTTGGTAGGTACCGTAGGGTAGGTAGCGTAGGGTAGGTAGAGTTTGGTAGGTACCGTAGGGTAGGTACCGTAGGGTAGGTAGAGTAGGGAAGGTAGAGTAGGGTAGGTATAGTGGGGTAGGTAGCGTAGGGTAAGTAGCGTAGGGTAAGTAGAGTAGGGAAGGTAGAGTGGAGTAGGTAGCGTAGGGTAGGAAGCGTAGGGTAGGTAGAGTAGGGTAGGTAGAGTAGGAAGGTAGAGTGGGGTAGGTAGCGTAGGGTAGGGTCCTAGAGTAGGGTAGGGTAGGTAGCGTAGGATAAGTAGAGTATGATAAGTAGTGTAGGTTAGGTAGGGCAGGTTAGGTAGGTAGGGCAGATAGTGTCGATAGTCAAATGACGGGAGCAAAGCCAGGTAAGAACTAATAATTAATAAAAAGAGTCCAAGTGAGTCTAATCGAGTACAGATAAGTACAAGTGAGCGCTAATAAGTATGAGTACAAATAAGTGTGACTGTATAAATTACCTCAGTATTATCCGCGGACTCCATAACCCGTCGCAGTTGTTTCTCTAGCGCGGCGGCTCGCTCGTCGATGGCGCCCTGTTCCCGCTCTAGGGCTTCCAACTCACTCTGGATGTACGAGCCTGACTCCTTACCCTGGGGAAGTAGATATGAGGAATTAGGCTGAAAATCTATTTTAGACAAAAAATACTTTTTTGTAAGGAGTAAATCATCTAACAACTTTTCTAACAGAAAACCACTATTTTTGTTCCGCTTAGTGTTTTATACAGGCGAAAATTTTCGTGTGGCCGAGTTCAGCTAGTAATAATGACGCCTCTCGCCCAAGCCAGGGCGGGATAAGGTACTAGAACGATCCCTCCGATCAAAAAAAACGGCGTGGCACGTTTCAAAACAAAATACAACAGATTTAGAGTTTATTGAGGCCGCGTGTGGGACGCTTAACCCTATTATGGATTTTCAGTCATGGTAAGTCGAGATATAAAAAAACGTTAAACTTTGCACACTAGGATTCAACAAAGTATTGTCTCGTGCGGGAATTAAACCCGCGACACGTTGTACAGCAGTCAGTTACTTAGCGACTGCGCCAACTGTGCAGTCGAACGCTTTAATGTTCTGCTATTAAAATGACTGCACGGTTGGCGCGGTGGCTGGGCAACCGCCTACCGCGCAACGTGTCGCAGATACGATTCCCTCACGGAACAACATTTTTTGTGTGATCCACAAATTGTTATTCCGTTTCTGTGACTGTGGGACTCACAGTATGCGAAATTGTTTTTAAACTCACCCAGGAGAAAATCGGGAATCGAAAACAAGTGAGGTAACGTTTTTATCCAAAAAAATAATAAATGGTGCTTTATATACAACTAGCAGTCCCTTCTCCAAATATTAAATTCCAGCGCAATCAACGCCATCTGCCGGGCTGATTTGTGAATCTAAACCATCCAGGGCGCCACACAAACGCATACAGAAAAATTAATTTAAATCGGTTAAGCCGTTGAGGAAGCTTTCAATAACATACGTACAGTACAGCCGACGTTCTTGGCGAGTCTGAAGTTAGCCGTTTGTCTGCGCAATGGATCTTTTAGGAATAAAATTGTGTACTGCGCAGCTAATCGGCTAACTTCACACTCGCCAAGATACGTTGGCGGTATTGTATAGCAGAATTGTGTATAACAAATAGTTTACCTCCTCTGCATCCTGTAGGTCGTCGGTGGGCAGCGCGTCGACGAGCGCCGAGAATGATTGCAGTGGGGACCGTCGACCCGCGCTCAGCGACACTGACTTTATGCTGCGACTATCTGCACTCTGGCGGTCCTCTGGCAAAAACAAAGTCAAAAATTATTTACAATTAGAAACTTTTTTTGTCATGGGAAAATCAGACTCTGGCTGACTAAAAAACACCCCTATTCCTTCTCCTGCTTTGGGTCGAGGCCGCGGTGACTCATGGCGCTTCACCCGCAAACCCGGCTATTCAATTACAGGCATTGGGGGATAGGTTTAAACTAAAAATCACGACATCTCACCAAATAGATAATATGGTGGTTCTACAGAAAATTAAAAAACAATATTGTTGTCATATTACGGGGCACGAAGGAACAAAAGGTAAAAAAAATATTGTAACAAGTCTCACCAGATCTGTCTGGGCTGACGGAACTCTTCCTGGAGCCCGGAGTAGAAGGCAGCGACTCCGTCCTGCCCAGTAACGCGTCCAACTGCTCGACACCGCCCGCTAAAACAGTAATACAAATAACAGTGAGAAAAAAATATCACATCATAAAAGTATGATTAGGCAGCTCTCTCTTGCCTCAATCTTGGCGTGAGAAGTCATTGGACGATTTTACCCCCAAAACAGGGGGACCCGAGATCGACTTAAAGTCGACGTAAATAGAAATTATAAGTCCAGGTTTCCCCACGATGTTTTAAAACAAAAAACCTATCTGGTATAGACGAAAGTATGTAAATAAAATATAAATTAATTGTTACCTGCAACAATTTCGTCCATGACGGATTGTTTGCTGATGATCTCGACGGTGCCCGAGCGAGAGTTACGCGACGGCGATAGAGGCGATGTTGGACTGAAATCAATAAACATTTTAAGTTATATAACCGGAAATGAGCAGCCGAATTACCTGATGATAAGCAATTGGCGCTGACCATGGAACACTTGGTGACTTACAAGTGCGTTGCCAGTCTTTTAGAGATCAGGGTTTTAGAGATTTAGGGTGTGGAGGAGGGGATGGATTGGCGAAACATCAACGCTATGTATGGTTTTCCGTAAAGCATGGCTCTCCCACACTTCAAATTTAAGTTCACTTTACACAATTTGACTTACCTAACAATACCAGCTCTTGCATCAGCGATGAGTTTTCTCGCTCTTTCTCTCAACATCGCCTGTCTCTCTTCCTCCGTCATGGGCTACAAGTATATAATGTATTAGGTACTACTTTATACATAAATAGACACATATATAAATAGGCAGCAACATTTAGTGCTTGCGTCAAATATAATGAACTTATATATCTAAGTGCTGAATAGAAAAAATAATATAGTTAGAAAAAACATTACTGATTTAAAATATTACTTTTTTGGGTACAATTTTTTAACTGTGTATTTTTTGAATAAGAGGATATCGTGAGAAGTATTTTCTAACTAGTAGAGCGTTTAACATTTAATTCACGAACGTCGAATTTTTTTAAAAATTTATAAGTATTTTGTGCAAGTTTTTAGAATACATTTGATAGTACTTTCTGTCCAAATACCTCTTTTTTCATTGTTAGAAAAAAATTATGTATGTCTGTGAAAGCGAACGCAAGGCAAAGTCAATCACGCATACCACGAAAACAAAAATCGAAATTAATAAACGTATGCTACAAATACAGACAATGCCTGAAAGTTTTCCAAAGTGAATTTTCCTACAAGATTTTTTGATAAAAAAACAACAACTATTCTACTTACAAAGTTTACTTACGTTAAAGGCGACACTAACTAAAATATAATCTATCATGGGACACTAATAAATTAATTAAAATTACGGCTTACTCAATTAGGTTTTACAGTAAGCCGTTTTTATAATTAATTAAAACATACCTTCTTAGGACTTACATCTCCATTTCTATGTCCATTCTCTTTTTCTTCCTTCTCTTTCTGTCTCAATTTTCTATCCTTTTCCCTCGCCTCCCTTTTCGTAGCTTCAAGCAGCTGTCTCGCTCTCTCTTTTAACTCATCATGACGTGACAACAATTGCTGGCCAATGGCAATCGATGGTGACGTGATATTCGACCAATCAGCGAAGCGGGGTTACATAGCGTCGTCCAATCAGAAGCGTCAAACACAGGCATTGTTGTAAGCGGTGTCGATGGGCAATGGAAACAAATGACGGGTTGTTTTTTAATATGACGGTCAGCAAAACAAGTTTTATAAAAATTGAACTGTTAGTTACATAATTGTACAAATTAACTACGTAGTATTTTCTTGTTATTTTGCTGACCGTACTATGTTAAACGATTATGGTATTAATGAGTCAACGCTAGCATTTGTATCGCACTAGCATATATTTTTTACCCCCAAACATTGGACAAGGGACAAAACATCTTTCATTGTATATACCCCAGATAGACAAAACAAAATATTTTCCCCCATATAAATAAATAATAACACAAATATGAGAAAAGAAAACGTTTGTCTGTCACATTTTAACTATTAAACTTCTAAGCTATCAGTGGTAAATGAGAAGTAAATAAAGTAGAGGCTATTTTGCCATACTTCTTAATACAATGAAATACTTAAAATGCTGTTTTAAAATAAAATTTTGATAACAACGAGCATGTAATAATTATAATAATTTAGAAATTTGATTAATCAAATTATATCTGTCATGAACTACTTTGAATGTAACTACATAAAACTTTACATGTTTTAGTAAGAAAAAGTATTTATTTACAAAGATTACTATACTAAATACTAAATTTCACCTAAAAAAACTAAACTGAAGTTAGTTGACTAAAATCTACGATACTACTGGGCCTTTTCATATGCTTAACTAAGAACCAGGGCTTCCCAATCTATTTAATAATATATTGGTAAGCCTAATCATTCAAGTAACAAAACTAAAACACAAAAATACTATAAGAAATCATTGGCTTCTAACGAAAAAAATTGGAAAATATACCTAGACAGTCGATTGTTAAAAGTCAAAATAATTTATTTCAAATAGACTCTACTTTTAGAAGGTAAAACAAGACTTTAAGATAAAAAGTGTCAGTCTGTCTATTCTGAAGCTATTTACTCGTTCCAAAGTTTATATTTCAATGGAGAGAAACGAGCAAGGAACTCCATGGTTACTATTTTTCAATCATTTGCACATACAGATATTCTTTGGTACATTATATCACTACCCCAAAAATATTAAAACGAAGTACCACAAAAGCGCGAACGCAAACTGCGAACCGCATGTTGGGAAGCCCTGTATTACTTTAAAAACTAATCTAAAACTCGATCTAAATTATTGTCAATTGTAATTATAACAAGACTAGGGAATAACGAACAATAGGTACTATATAATATACTATATTACTTTGAGAAAACGTCAGTAACACACGCATAATATAATTAATGTACAGATACATTGTCTTTGAGTATCTTTTGAAGTATTTTCTTTATGATAGGTATGTTTGAAATCCAATAAACATGATTTGAGATTGTAGCCAGAAAAACATATTATGCTACTAATATCATAAACGCGAAAGTTCATCAGTATTGATAGATGAGAGCATGTTTGTAACTGTTTATCGTAAAAACTACTGAACGGATCTAAAAGAAATTTGGTATAGAGATAGATTATATGTAGTAGAACATAACAAAACATAGGCTTTACATTCAGGCAACGCGGTTGAATCCGCTGGTATTTTCGAGTTAAACACAAAAGTTTAGTTACATGCAATCATTAGAAAAGTTCTTATTTTTTATTTAATGGTATAGGTCGGCAAACAAGGAGACCTGATGGTAAGCAATTGGCTCCTTCCAATATCAAAAGGATATTGAACTGCGTTGACAGTCATTTGAGGATTGAATATTAGAGCACTGGGGATGGGAGGGCAGGGGAGGAGGATTGCCCCTAATAAGGCGAAACGCAACGCTGTTTCTTTTACGTCGATATATTTTGAGGTAATTATGTATATCACCCCAATTCCTCCTTATTCCCCAAAAGGTTGGCAACGTAATAATAACTCCTCCGTCGTTGCAGGTGTCCATGGGCAAAGCAGCTTACCATCAGGTAATCCGTTTATTCGTTTGCCGTCCTTCCACATAAAAAAAAACACTTCAGTCGAGCCGACCCATTCGTGGCAAAGCATGGCTCTCTAACATATTTGAAAGACTTTGTTTTCCTGGCTACAACCTCTTTTAAACACTAAACACACTACATAACAAGTCTCAAGCCATTCCTGAAACACAGAACTCGACTTACCGGTGTCGGTTTGGGTAACTCCGGAGTGGGGGGCTTCGGTGGTGACGTCACACGGTTATCAGAGTCCGGTTGTGTTAGTGGATCTGTGATTACCACCGGTTCCGATGGTTTTGGGTCCGGTTGGGGTGATACTGAAAAAAGGAGAGTTATTATAGCCTAGCTGACCCTCATATAATATATACAGGGTGTCCGGTAAAGAATGGATAACCTTGCAATACCATTAAGTATATCCCACGGCCATTCAAAAAATATAAAAAAAAAAATACGAAAAAAAATTATTTTATAAAAAAACTTGCAAATTAATTTATTATAGACAAATCGTGCAAAATTTATTTTTAAAGCAATGTTTAATCATCGTGGTTATGCAGTAATGTAATGAACGTAAATGTTAAAGGATCATATTGTATTACCTCTAGCCCCAGTTCTTTTACTTCAAGACATAATAATTTAGGTACTACCTATGATACTTTCCTTTTCGTTGTTTTTTCTGAATGGCCAAAGGATATACTAAAAGGCATTTCAAGGTTATCCATTCTTTACCGGACACCTGTATAACGGCGTATAAGTGAAGTTTGTACAAGTAGTGGAGAATTTATTTATCTAAGAAGATTTAATATTTTATTATTTTTTAAGATTTACCTTATTGTATTTTTTTCATATTGCGTATGGCAACAATTAAGAGCGGGTAACACCGAATGGGTTTGTGTCAGTTGTCTTACGGGCAAGTGATGAGGAATTAGACAGGGTTGTTGATGGGTTGCCCGTAGAAACCAACGCAACTCCATTAGCTCTTGTAATTTGAAAATAATATTATTTTAGCTTCATTCTTAACGTTGATTTATTATAAATGTCCACCATGAATACCAGCGAACTATCTAAAGGTTGTCTGTAAGAGATCGCCTTGTGCGATAAGACCGCCCATTGTACACTCAATTTTTGTAAGCTATTCTTTATAACTGTGTGGTGTACAATAAAGTATATAATAAATAAATAAATAAATAAAGAACAAGGGAATACAGCCCGGCCTCCCATAGTTCCTATGGTTGTTCGACATATGTATTCTTTTCTTCTCCTCAAATAATATCTTCTGATCTAATTCGTTGCGGATCCAAGACAATCATTCATGTCCCAGGGGCGGCGCTGATTGCTTACCATCAGGTAATCAATCTGCTCGTTTGCTAATCTATCATTAGGTTAACATGTTAGAGAACGTACCAATTTCATTATTTCCATTATTCCCGTTATTCTGTGGGGTAGGCGCTGGAGGTTCCTGTTGTTCCTCCTCCTCATCAGACCCGAAGGGATCCGTTAGTTCTTTCCGGGTCATCAACTTCTCCGGCCGGACTGGAGGTGCCTGGCGACAAAAGATGGATTACATAAATTTTCCGACATAAAATTATTAATATAATAAAGTATATATTTGCCGACCACGCTCTAGTCAACTGAGTTCATTATAAGCACATGTGCACTTCGAAATTAGTCAAGTATCCTTGAATCCTCCGGCTACTACAATTTTTCAAACCCTTAGCGATAAGGGTCATCAAAGACAAAGACTCACCATAAACTTTTTTTCGATATTATTTTATATGATTAGAAACCGGGTCATCTACCAATAAGAATCACCTACCTCATTAACTTTAAGTGGATCAGCGAACCACTTGGCACTTGGCTTATGATCTCTTGCGGGAGACAAGACCTTGCCAAGAATGGCCTTGGACTGGTGCAAGAGGTCTCGGACATCCTTCCTTGCTCCTGGAGACGGTTGTTCAGGTGTAGACCGCTCTACGGATGCCCTCGATTCTTGGGACTCTTGTGAACTGTGAAAGAAGGGTGGGTAAGATTTTCGCAAAGTGTAGATGGCGGTAGTGATGTTTTAAGTCTTTTTAGGTACTATTTTTTTGTGTTGTAATTTGAGTTGCTTGTGTGTTGAGTATAAGAAAATAGTAAATTGGAGATGCTTCGCAATTCAATACATTTTATGGCATACAGTAGAAAACGTGCGATTGGATCACCTGATGGTAAGCAATAAGAGGCTCCCACAGGTACCCGCGCTATCAAAAGATTTACGAATGCTTCGCCAGAATTTCAGAAAAAATGTTTCTTAAATTATTTTAGAAATCAGGTCTACCATCAAGCATCGATTGTTTACCATCAGGTAATTCGTCAGCTCGTTTGCCAATCTATCACATAAAATTGTGTTCTTTGGAGTTTTACAGTCCCTGCATACCCCAAAAGGCGAGGTTTATGTCGGTAATAATGTATCCAATCACTTTCCTCTATTATACAACTGCCAATATGACAATATACTACACAAGTATATGTACCAAAGAATCTGTATGTGAAACTTATTAAAAAAGAGTAAGGATACTCCATGGTTACTCTTTTTTCTCTTTCTTCTCCATAGGAATCTACACTTTGGAACGAGCAAATAGTTTCACTAAGAAGACTGACCGACAGACTGACACTTTATATCTTTAAGCTTTGTTTGGCGTTCAAAACATATGGTAATTTAAATAAATGATTTTGACTTTGACTTTACTCACCCTGGCCGAGGTCTATCCATCATATTCCTAGACCTTCTAGTGCTGATCTCTCGACTGAAGAGCTCCTGAGGAATGGATCCGTCTGTATCATGGCGGCCTACTAGGTACGAAGATTCCGTCTCGTCGTTACCTGAGAATGCAATTAATAAAATTTGTATCTATTTGGAAGAAAATAAAGTTTACTTTTAAAGACAGCTTTTTTAATAGTAATTAAACCTCATAAACAATACATACAAAAGTTAAGATAGATTTTTTTTTACTTTTTAACAAACTTAGTTAATTTGACTAGTTGGAAAATACCGAATTATTTACAGGAAAAAAAATACATTACCTAATTGTTCAACTTGTAATTCGTTGCCGGTGAAGTGTGCCCGCAGTTGGAACAGATATGTCATTATCTGAAAGGAATGAAACCAATACATTATCAATCGCTATAGGCTTTATTCAATTTAAAAATGTATTTATAATAAAATTCTAACATTTCTATTTAAAATCCTAATGATTCGTAGACTCTTATTGTATTTTTATGTTAGCCCAAACACTCAGGTTTTCTCCTATTTTATTTATGGATGTGTTTAACATACCATTTCACATATTCATACATCACGCCCAGACTCGGAACAACAATTTGTTTCCTGCGAGAATTGAATCCGCAACACGTTGCAAGGGCAGCTCGCCGCCCGACCAGAACCAGGCCCGAGCGTACGGCGCGTAGCGTTCCGCGCGCGCCTCAAAGAGCCAATAGACCACCACAGACGGGGCCCTAAAGGGCTGATGTTCAGCCGGGGTTGCGGGGTAAGCGCAATGAGGTACCGCGACCTCGGCACAGAGCAGGAGAAGGAACAGGGGGGTTTTCAGTCAGTAAGAGCCTGACACTCCCTCCCGCCCGGCCCTGGGCGGGAGAAGTCATTTGATGATTTTCCCCTCACAAAAAAAAACACGTTGCAAGGCGATTCCCAGCCACCACGTCAATTGTGCAGTCTCAATTAGGAACTTAAAATCTACTTATTTGTATAATGACTTTAACTTTTGACTGCACGGTTGGCGCAATGGCTGGGCCAACAACTGGCTTGTGTGCATCGTGTCGCTGGTTCGATTACAACGAAAAAAAACTTTGTGGTCCACAAGTTGTTTTTTCGAGTATGAGTGACGACACAGGAGAAAATGCTGAAGTGGGTAAAAACTAAAAAAAAAACATATATGTGCCTCTGTTTCTGTATCTGTTTTCCTATTTACAGTATGAGTGATGGGCATAAATCCAAACTACTTAATGTTATAAAAGCGAAACTAACTCTATCTGTCTTTCCTCCACGCCTAAACTACTGAACCGATTTCTTTGAAATTTGGTACAAACATAATTCGGAACTAGAGAAAGGACATAGGATAGTTTTTATCCAAAAAATCCCGCGTGATCAGGATCTTTGTGGGTCAAACCAAAAATTTGTGGGAAGTCACTATTGCACGCGAACGACGTCGCGGGCGAAAGCAAGTTATAAATAAATAAATGAACAAGACTTTTGAACACAACATGTGAAATTGTATGTTTGTAAAACGCACCCACGACACAGGAGAAAATCCTAGTGTGGGGCAACGTTAAAAAGAAAAAAAATGTTGTTGTTGTTGTTGTTGTTGTTGAACACTAGATACTTACGGCTAGTCTGTCAGGTATCTGTCGTGAACACACGTCGGCTGCAGTGAGTACTTGAGAAATGCCCAGCTTCGAGCTAGCTTCTAGGGCAACGCGGAGATTCTTCTCCGCCTCGTCTGGTTGCAGACCGGAGAAGTCACTGGAATTTTACGTCATAATAACTTATTATACAGAAAACCGGCGTGTAACAACCACAGCGTTGTTTCGACGTGTGAGTGAGGTTACCGAAGGCCCAATCCCTCCCCCTCCCCCATCCTTCCCAATCCTTTGATATCCTAAACCTTTATCCCTAAAACGCCGGCAACGCACTCGACAACACCTCCTTTGATGTTGCGGGTGTCCATGGGCGGCGCTGATTGCTTACCATCAGGTAATCCGTCAGCTCGTTTGCCGACCTATACCATGAATAAAAACATAATCATCAACATCATTATCATCATCATCATCAGTCACTGCTGAACAAAGAGTACAAAGACCTTAGTCTTTGACGTCGAACGACAACTCGCCACAAATAAATAATATTATAATTTTTAATATACCTTAAACGTTTAAAATGTTGTTTTTTAACGTTTAGTTTTTAGTTATAAATTTTTAGAATGTTGGCTAACATGTAATTGGCCGATTCGTACAGAAGTATAGCTCTACCACGACCAAAAACTAAATTATTTTTTTCTAACTGCTCATAGAAATAAATACAATATAATTGGGTAGTTTCCTCAATCAAAAGTAACTTACCAAATCATCTTTGGACCTTTTAATCACGGTAATTCGAGACACAATAGAAGAACCATAGGTTTCCCGGCGCTCGCTTGGGATTCCATAAATTAAACCAAATATATACTAACATGAGATCAGGTCGAAACCGATGTATGATGGCGCAGAAAGCTAGGCCGGAACGGAAGCTAGTCGTCAGGTTGGTGACGCGACAGGATCGGTACTCCTTGATCACTGACTGACACCATTCTAGGAGATCCTGGACCTGGAAACAAATACATAGAGAGATAATCTATACATATAAAAATCAATGCCACGTTTCGTTGTAATTCATGGAAGACCAGAGAAGGTTTGTACATAGAGAAAATAAAAAAAAAACTTGAGAAAGTGTGTCGCCCGCGGCTCTGCCCGCGTATACGTCGATTTTACACTTTCTGAAGATTTTTTTTTAAATATTTTCTAGGCACAAGCCTTCTCTAGACTAGAGGCAATTAAATTTAACTAAAGGCATGGTTAAGTTATACCATTACAACGTAAATTGGCATTGATCTTTATGTATATATAATAATATGTATTATAGATAATAAGGTTCAATTTTAAAATACCCTGTATTAGGTATGACTTAGTATTGCTTTCTATTAAAAATGCGAATTATCTATATATCTATATATATAAAAGAAAGTCGTGTTAGTTACTCCACTTATAACTGAAGAACGGCTGAACCGATTTAGCTGAAAATTGGCAGGGAGGTAGTTTAGAGCCAGGAGAAGGACATAGGGTAGGTAGGGTAGGGTAGGTAGAGTAGGGTAGGAAGAGTAGGGTAGGTAGAGTAGTGTATGTGGAGTAGGGTAGGTAGAGTAGGGTAGGTATAGTAGGGTAGGTAAAGTAGGGTAAGTAGAGTAGGGTAGGTAGTCAAATGACGGGAGCGACGCCACGGGTAAGAGCTAGTAGTAAACTAAATACGTACATAATTATATTTAAATGCAACTCACCGGCGTTTTATCCTTATCAAATTTCCCCGGGAACAGTTTCTCCATGTCGGCGGCCGTGGGGGTCTTATCGCTGTCCTCATCCTTTTCATTCTCATTCCTATCTAAAGTTATACTGTTCAAATTGGTCTTCAATTCCAAAGGTTTCAAATTCCTCATAGCCACCGTTTTAGGCTTAAAAACGACCCCCTTTATATCACTTTTAGGCTCATTATTAATAACATTATTGGCTTTAGGGGTCGAAAAGTACTTGGGTTCCGGTTTCATGACCAGTTTTGTTAAATTACTAAGCATTTCTGGCCTTGTTTTTGGTATGGGGTCATTAGTCACATCGTTGTCGTTGGGCGTGGGGTCTGAAGGCACGGGCGTGGTTGGGGTCGTGTGTTCCGGGGTGATTGGCGCTGTGGGGGTGCGGGAGTTGTCGAAGTTTAGACTTTGTACGCTGTTTGGGGTCGCCGCGATATCACTGTTTGTTAGACTTTGTGTCATCTCTTCCATTTGCTGTCGGAGATCCAACATCTGTAAAGAAAACAGGGCTTATGATACATTTTCATTTCGGCGTCAGTATATTTTTTTTAGAGTAATACGATTAGTACAGATTATGTCATTAGAACGATAATTTTTAAACATGTCTTTAATAATAATAATAATCATTTATTTGTAAAACATAGGTAATCATTACATGCAAGATCTTATAAACTAGGTAGTGCGCTATGTTTTGCCAGTTGGCATACAAATTATAAAAAAGCAAGATTAAAATATTTGAATTTATTACAATATAATTATGTCAATTTAATTGAAAAGAATTAAAATCAAAGGGTCGTAAAATCAAATCGGTACGGTTACAGTGATTCGTCATTAAGAAACTCGTCTAGTGTATAATAACATTTTTCAAGCAAAAACCCGTTAAGCGTTTTTTTGAACTTCTGCAATAGTAGACATTTTATTTCATTGGGTATTTTGTTATATATTTGTGGAGCAACACCGAAGAATCTTTTCTTCATTAGAGAAGTATTACATTTCACAAGGCATAGATCATTCCTATATTGAGCACGCATCGGAGTTTTCTTCACTGAGCATAGTTTTTTGAATAAATGTGGATTGTTTTTTACAAATAATGCAGCTTCCAGGATGTATAGAGATGGCAGAGGTAATATTTTTAGCTTTTTAAAATATGGATTGCAACTATCTGTGGTTTTTAGACCACACATAGCCCGTAAACATCTTTTCTGCATCCTGAAAACAAGTTCCCTATTTGTTGACTGTCCCCAAAAAATAAGACCATACCGCAGAATTGAGGCTACCAGTCCATGATAGGCTGTTAGTAGCGTATCAGTGTTCACTTTTTTTGAGAGTTGAAATAGCAAGTATGCTGATTTACTTAACCTTTTGCAAATTTCCTCTAAGTGAGGTTTCCAAGTTAATTTGTTGTCTATAATTATACCTAGAAACTTTGCGGTACTAACTGCTTCAATTTCATTATTTTCATAAGCAATATTAATTTCTGGTTTCTTAAGCCGTTGGTGGAAGTGCATTACTTTGGTTTTATTTAAATTAATTATAAGATTATTATTATTAAGCCAATATATTATTTTATTTAGGGAATCATTGATATCATTTTGGTAATTGTTCGGATTTTCACATTCTATAACAGCTGTGCTATCGTCTGCAAAGAGTACCATTTTTTGCCCTATAAATTTTGGGAGGTCATTGATATATATCAGGAAGAGCAGTGGTCCGAGAACGCTACCTTGCGGCACGCCATATTTGATATATTTTGGTTCAGATGTGTATGTAGTTTCTAGCTTGGTTGTGGGGCATATTCTAGATATTTCCGTACATTGTAATCTATCACTCAAGTATGATTCTACTAGCTTAAGGATGTTCCCTCTAATGCCATAGCCATACAATTTTTGGAGTAAGATTGTATGGTCCACAAAATCAAACGCCTTCGTCATGTCTGTATATATCGCACAGACATGCTTTCTTTTGTCAACAGATGTTAAGACACTTAATAGTAGGTCGAACAGTGCCATATTAATATTGACATTTTTCCTGAACCCTTTTTGTTCATTACAAAATAATTTAAATTTTTCAAAATAACTATTAAGGGAGTTATAGATTACTTTCTCAAATATTTTTGAGAATATCGGAATTTTTGCAATTGGTCTATAATTTTTAACATCAGTTCTGTCATTTCGTTTAAAAAGGGGCTTAATGATTACTTTTTTTAAACTATTTGGGAATGTACCATCTGCAATACAGAGATTGATCACATGTGACAGCGGTGGCGCTATAATCTCCTTGACATATTTTATTACTTTAGTTGATATGCCATCGTGTCCAACAGTATTTGTATTCCTAAGGCTAGTAATTATTTTAATTATGTCATCATCCGTAACAGGCAACATAAATAATGAATGAGATGTCAGATTTTCACTAGACAGTTTTTTTATTTCGATTTAATAGTGATACTTCTTCAAAGACAAGTATAAGTGGCATTCTGTCTAAAAAGTTCAGTTGCACCTTATGTCTTAACTTTAAGGGTAACTTTAGTGCAACCATATTACCATATTTTTTGAATTTCTCGACAGAAAATTCCAAAATTCATCATCATTCACAATTATTTTTGTATAGTTATCGGACAACGTATACATTTATTATATTTAATAATAATAACAATAATTTATATTTCAATTCTGTAAAAATATTTTTCTTACTATTTCTCCACAGATTTAATATGTACTTAATTATAAGTCAAATATAATACAAAATTACCTGTCTTGTAGAGTTATCAGACAACGTGTAGTCATCCTCGTCTAAATCCTCTAACACTGCAATATCTGAGTTATTATTCACCGACAGAAGAGACGCTAGCGACTGCATATCTTCATCGCTGGAAATAATAATATTATATTTACTTTAACGGTAAAAAAAATATAAAAATTGGTTTGATGAAAAATATGTCTATTGACCCCTAAAAGTCTCAAAATTATGCAAAACTATACTATGCTAAAATTTGAACCGACTTCTATTATGGGATTACCTGATGGTAAGCAATCGGCGCCGCCCATGGACACCCACAACACCATGGGAGTTACGAGTGCGTTGCCGGACTTTTAAGGATAAGGGAGGAAGATTTCTACAGATTATTTTTTAGATGATCATGTTGATTATTTAGAATTATACTTTAACTTGTCCAAATTTCCATATAATAAGTATAACTAGCATTCTAAAAGTTTCTGACAGAAATTAAATCTAGTGGAAAGAAATCGCAGAAAACATTGAAATTATAGCTTATAATAGAATACTGCAGCTATAAGTAACTAAGAAAAAAATAAAGAATACTTACGTAGCCTGTCCTTCCCTCAACAGTACACAATGTAGAGTGAGATGTAAGGATGCGGCCACCACCTTATGTGTGGTGGGTTCCAGGGTGAGGACCAGGGCTCGCTGCGAAGGCTCCAAGCTTGCAAACTTACGCATATTGATTGAACATACGCCTAAGCGACGACGCTTGCCCGTTATGGATACCTAGAATAAAATAAGGTGAAATAAAAATATTTGTACAGCTTTCGAGATAGCTCGAATAGTTTCGAGCTACAAGGATTACCCCTTATTTAATGGGATAGGGCAATATTTATGGTTTAGTTGGAATAAATGATTTTGACTTTGACTTTATGAGAAGTGTGCCATGCTTTGTCACGAATGGTCGGCTCGAAAAGAGTGATATCACGGCCTCGCAGAGAACTGGCGTGAAACAACAACAATATTGTGATTTGCGGTGTGATTGAGGTTACTGGAGGCCCTATCCTTCCCTTTCCACAATCCTTCCCAAATCCGAAATCTCAAAAAAGCCTAATTTACAAAAAAAAATTTCGTTGCGGGATCCAAGACAGTCATTCATGTCCTTGGGACGCGTCGAAATTTTGTGTTTCAGTGTTGTATCTACTGTAGATCCTGGCTTTGGGAATTCGTGGAGGGTTTCAAGCAAATAAATAAAAGTCGTGTTAGTTAGACTATTAATAACTCGAGAACGGCTGAACCGATTTCGTTGAAAATTGGTAGGGATTTACTTTAGAATTTGGTAAAATAACATAGGGTAGGGTAGGTAGGGTAAGGTAGGTAAGGTAGTGTAAAAGCTAGTTAGCAATAACTTACATCTTCAAGCACAAAAGTCCAGTCTTTGTCCTCCAGCTCGTTGGTGCGCGAGTCCTTGAACAGCGTGACGGCCACAGTTCGGTTTTCTGGCACCGTGTATATAACTGACCCTCTGAAAACAAATTTTAGTATTTTAATATTCTACATCTACATAATTTTAAATGAAACTATGCGTAGAGCAAACTATTCTGACCAACGAGCCAAAAACGCAAGTGCGAATGCCGTAAGAGGTATCAGGTTGAATTAATTCCCAGGTCAGGCAAAGCTATTAGGGAAATTTTCGGATTTTCGAAAATGGCTTATATTGGCACGGAGTCATCTCTAACAAAATACCTACTATATTTTTACTCTTTGATCACACAAACAACTCTGATCTTGTGATGGTATGAAAAAACAAATATTTATTTATTTATTATAAGGTAGGCTCACAGCTTATGTATACAAAGTGGTTTAAAGTAATGGTTATAGGCAGTAGGTCATATACATTAGCCAGTTACGAGATAACCAACATTCTAAAAAAAATATAAATAATATTGTTCTAAATACATACTTGAGCGGATCTTTCAACGACGGCTCCCATTCCAATGGATCTGTGATCACTCGCCTGGACCGCCTCGTCCACACTACACTCAGTTTATTTGGTTTCCTGAAAACAATACAATATTTATTTTATTTAGTTTATATCCTAAGAACTAACTATACATGACGGATATTTTTCTTTTTCTATTTTTTTTTTTTTTGTTGTGTGGATGAAGTCATCCAATTTCTTCTTCCAACCTTGATGGGGCGATAGGGAGCGACACTCTTACTGACTAAGAACCACCCATTTCCTTCTCCTTCCGCAACTGGCTGGACATGGATCTTGTTGGGCCTAATCTGTGGTGGTTTAAAGACTGTGTTTGGCCGTGTTAGTTAGGTTATCGGAGGCCCAATTCTTCCCCCCTCCCTATGCGATCCCTATCATCAATCATCAAATCCGGGTATCCATAAATCCCGAATAATCCACAAGAGGCCGGAAACGTATTATAGTGACTCCTTTCGTACTACGAGAGTCCATGGTTGGCAGTTGGCACTCAGCCGGGGTTGCAGGTTAAGCGCAATGAAGTACCGCGACCTCGGCCTTGAGCAGGAGAACGAACGGGTGGTTTTTAGTCAGTAAGAGTCTGACACTACCTCCCGGCCCACCATGGGCGGGAGAAGACATTTTATGATTTTCCGTTCACAAAAAAAAAATAGGTGGCGCTCATTGCTCACCATCAGGTAATCTTTCAGCTCGTTTGCCGACCTATGACATAAAACATAACTACGGCTAAAAACTTTAAGGCGACTTCTCTCATCTTCCCAGAATAAAAAGTACTTACACCATGAGTTAATCCTGGATATACTCTATATTCAGGCGACAATGGCCTATATTAGCTACTTTACTGTCGAATGTCACGGGCCTTAAAAAATATCAATATTAATAACGCATCTTTACTAAAACCTAAATAATCAACCAAAATTTTTTTCAATTTCATTCACATTTTATCTATTGTTCAAGTCTATTTTCGGTCCCGCGATCACCCAGTAAGTTTAGGATGCACTTCAAAGTATTTCTGTAACCGATTGATGAGTGCATTGCACGCGGCCCAGATGGGCAATCAATGCACAAAAAACACACAAAAGTTCTATGATCTTTTTTCGGCTGTATCTCGAGAACCGACATATCTAAATAGGTGAAATTTAAACACGTGATTTCTATTGCAGCTCAAGCAAAATAATGATAACAATGGCAGCAGCCCCAGCCTGTGGAGGAAAGAGAACGGAGCAGTAATTTTCCCACCTTAAAAATAAAAACAAATGTACAAATACAGCAATACAATTATGCTATACATACAGCAATGTAATAATTTTGGTACGAAAATCTTCGTGTGTTAAGGAGGAAGGGAAAATCATCAAATGACTTCTCCTGCCCAGGGAAAGTCGAGAGAGAGTGTCAGACTCTTACTGACTAAAAACCCCCTCGTTCCTACTCCTGCTCTTGGCCGAGGCCGTGACTCATTACGCTTAACCCGCAACCCCACCTGAACATGAGCTGAACTTTCTTCGTCGGCAGAAACTACAAGCAATTAATATATTTCACTCCAAAAACATCACTTAAGGAAGAAAACATTTTCATTAAGTAATAAAAGCTCAACAGACAGACACAGACAAACAGACAGACACGACTACTCTTTGTACTTTGTACTCTTTGTAGACCAAGTTTAAATCGTCGACCGAAGCGTCGGTTGTAAGTTCCCGACGTAAATAGCTGAGAGATCGATACCAGCCATTTTACAGCTTAAACTTTTATCACATGCATACAAACTTAGGACGAGTGGATATAAATAGAAAAAATGCTGTGTTTAATGGAGTTTTAGAAACTGCTTTTTTACGCTTTAGCACGAATGTGCCGGCTCGACCGGATTGATATCACGGCCTCGCAGGATACTGGCGCGAAACGAACATTTCGTAGTGTATTTCATATCTGACTACTGTGAAAAGAAATGTACTGTGAAAAGAAATGCCGAAACAAACTTAGGATGTCAATTTCTGCATTAAAGTTTTTCACTATTTATTACTCCTTATGTACACTGTGTACTTTTGTCTCTTGGTTATGCTATTGGTAAGCGGGTGATTCTCCAAAAAACCTTAACTTTTATTTAACAAGTCATTATCCTCCCAGGTTTTTAAGCATCTTAGTAATTTATTTTATACAATATTTTTAATCGGTTGCTTGTAAGCAGTGATGAGATTTAATTTAATAAAATACTTATATGTGTTTTAATCAGCAGACTCGTTAATTTTCGGTTGAGGCTAATGACATTATTAATTTTTTTTTAATTGATGTGAAAAATCACCCAAGCACCTCATAGATGCCCCTAATTATTTATAAGATCCGCTTTTACGCCGTGCATTGCCTATCCGCACCCCGTGGTGCAAAATTGCCTTAAAGAAAACACGGGTCAAGGAGGAGCCGATTGGTATCCATCAGACTATCCTATATAGTCTTTCTGTTCGTTTGCCGCTCCATCCATAAATAAGACCTTTCCGAAGATACCTAATTCAAGTACAATAAAGAGAAACTTACCATTTAGGCGAGGTCTCAAGATCTACGCGATGATAGGAGGCGGTGTACTGGAACTTGGCAGCTCGCTTGTTAACACGCTGCAGTCGCTTCCACACCGACGCCATTTTTACACCTGTAATCATTTAACATGTTCAAAAGACGACCTTGACTTGTTTGACTCTATATCCCCTAGATGGGGTAGAGCGCTTCGTGCAAAGAAAGTCTTTCAAGTTATATACATAATCGTCGACGATCATACAGAATTTTTTGAAAGGAGGTTTCCAAACAGAATTGTATATTTTATTCCTACACAAAAAACAAAATAAGCCGAGGCTTTTTTTCTGTTTTTTTGTGTAGGAAATCATCAAATCGGCTCATCCCGCACCGGGTGAGGCAATAATCTATTGTTGTACTTGCACACGCAACGCCAAAAGATTTGACGGCCTAACATCGCATTGATATGAAATCTTGAAGCACCTCTGTCGCTTTCTCTTTAACCTGAATTAAACATCGATCCTCAGGTTCCCACAAATCATCATCATCATACAGTACATCATTCTGATGTGCTGAGAATAGGCGACCTTTTATTTCCTGACAAAATTGTATAAATTACTTATTCATCCACATTTAACGCCAAAAATTGACAGTCGCTAGCGGAGCATTTGGGGATTTTTGGGGGCTGATTCCACCAAGTCATCTCCAATATCCCAATCCTTAAAATACCTACAATGCACTGGCCATTTAGTTTTGGACATCCGTCATGGGTGGCGCCGATTGCTTACTATCAGGTGTCTGCAGTTGACTGATATTTTCTTCTTCTTCTGATATATAAAAATGGATCGCAAATGTGTTGGTAAGCGCATAACTCAACAACCTGCCTGGAACAATTTTGCTAATTATTTTTTTTGTTGTGTTTGTTGTTGTCAGGAGAAGGTTCTTATCAAAGAAAATATTAGAAAAGTAGAGGGGAAGATTAGGAAAAAGTGACCCCTAGATAGCTGTTGTATTGTCTATGATTAGTATTACTAATCAGTGTTGCACTATTATTGTCTATGTCGTCATATCACTATAAAGAGGGTGGCCGAGCAAGTGTCGGCCATTGACAATGTAACTCTGGTGCAGTGAGCTGCAGGACTGTGTACTACCTAATTAAAGTCAAGTATCCAAGATCCAAGTCTTTCAATCATATTACATGGTGTCAGAAGTGAAAAGAACAATTTATTTCACGTAAGTCGGTCACAAAAATGGACCAGTCGAGTTCCGAACCATGCGGCGTGGGCGACCAAGATGGCGTCCAAGGTCTCAACACGAGGATGAAATCATTAAATATTTCGTCGGATTCCACAAATAATAATGCGGAAGCGTGGAAACGGTGGTCGCAGCAACTGGACCTATATCTACTCGCCACGGGTTTAGACAGGGCACCCGAGAAGAGAAAAATAGCCATACTGCTGCATCTTATAGGTGAGAAAGGCCTAAACATTTATAATACGTTTAACCTCAACATCGACAAGACCACGCTTGCCGAAGTGAAGCAGAAATTCAATAATTTTTTTGAGCCCCGGAGGAACATAACCATGTGTCGTCACATGTTCTTCACGAGGAGGCAGAAGCAATCCGAGTCCATCGAAGGATTCCTGGCAGACCTGGAAAATAAGAGCCGTGATTGTGAATTCGGAACGCTCAAGGAGTCCCTCATAAGGGATATTTTCATTGCCAATCTGCACATGGACCTGGCACATGTCCGTCAGAGATTGCTTCAGGAGCCTGATCTGACATATCAAAGGATGCGCGAACTGGCGAGAACATTAATCGTCGCACAGCAGGATGCTGAGAAGATCGTCGGTTCCAGCGAGAAACAGGAAAATGTAATGCATCTACGTCGGAGGAGCCGTAGTCGAGGAGATCGTCGACAGCGAGCTTCACCAGTCGGTCGGCAGGGTCCTGGTACGAGGCAGTCTCCCAACCCTGAAAGGCGCACGAGGCCGTGTAGCCGCTGTGGGCAGTCTCATCGATACAAGTGCCCAGCGCAGGGAGTCCAATGCAGGTCATGTAATTCATTTGGTCATTTCGCTAAATTTTGCTTTAAAAATAAAAATGTAAGTCGTTTAGAGTCGTTTAATTCAAATAGTAACAGTAGTCAGGATCATTATTTCATTGGAACATTAAAGAGTCATTGTCAAAGTCATATAAAGTCAAATAAAAGTACAAAATATAGTCACTATAATGTAGTGTCAAGTAAAAAGTCAGTCAGCACACAGTCACATCGTCAGTCCTCACTATCACCACCACAGTTACATTGTCAATCACCATCACCACCACAATTACATTGTCAACCACCATCGGAATGGTCTCATAAAGATCAATTACAGTTGAGGAATGATTCCGATGATGAAACTTATGTCATGTCTGAGAGATCTCACCGAGACTCCTATTGTCAATCTGAGAAAATCATTCTCATGTCAAATTTCTGTGATGATAGTGGTGATAATGTCATGTCTAAGAAGTCTAAAAAGAACCTCGGTGATGAAAGCAGTCACCTGTCTGAGAAACTAAATTTTTACTCAAATTTATGTGATGATAGTGGTGAAAATGTCATGTTTAAGAGGTCTAAAAAGAACCTCGGTGATGAAAACAGTCACCAGTCTGAGAAGTATAATCTCATATCATATGGTCACAATTTAAACAAATGTTGTGATAGTCAAAGTGTGTATCTCAATGATGAGTACAGACACATGTCTGAGGAATCACCTCACACACTCACACCACCACATCAAAGTCATCAGTCATTGAACAACATTAATACAGTTCAATCAGAACCTAACATTAACAAAAGTAAACAGTCCTGGAATATTAATTTAAAAGTAGGTAATTTAAAATTTAATTGCATCATAGATTCAGGAGCTGATTTAAACATTATGTCGAAGCAAACTTTTAATTATTTAAAACATAAGCTTAAACAGTTGTCAATTGTCAAAAGTCATATAAATGTCACAGGATTTAGTGGCAAATCAATACCCATTATGGGAAAGGTCAATATTAAATGTAAATTTCTAGTGTCTGAAGTCTGTTTCCTAGGTTATATCTTTAGTAAAGATGGTGCAAGGGTTGACCAAGAGAAAGTTAAAGCAATTGTCAATATGCCTACACCAAAAAATGTCAAAGAATTACAAAGAATATTAGGTATGATCAATTATTTAGGTCCCTTTATTAGTAATTTGTCAGAAAAAACTCAAATTTTAAGAAATCTTTTGAAAAAGGATTCTGTTTGGTCTTGGGATGAGAATCACAATAAATGTCTTAAGGGTTTAATAGATGAAATCACAAAGTCACCTGTCTTAGCTCACTATAACCCCAACATTCCATTAGTCTTGTCAGTAGATTCGTCTAAATCAGCATTGGGAGCAGTCATTTTACAAAATAATAAACCCATTGCTTATAGTTCTAAAACTTTAACCACAACCCAGTCAAGGTATGCTCAAATAGAGAAAGAATTGCTTGCAATTCAATTTGGTTGTGAAAAATTTCACCAGTATGTATATGGTCACAGAGTTACAGTTCACACAGATCACAAACCTTTAGTCTACCTGTTTGATAAACCATTACATGATGTACCAGCTAGGTTACAGCGAATGATGTTAACTTTGCAAAAGTATGATTTGAAAGTTATACATGTCCCAGGTAAACAAATGTTCATATCTGATACTTTGTCGAGAGCAGCCTTAAAAGATCATTATATTCCAGAGAATGAGTCTGAAATAACCTGTCATGTCAATTTAATGCATTCAAATTTAGCAATTACTAAGGATTACAGTACAAAATTGTCACAACAAACTAATAAAGATGAAAGTTTGCAATTGTTAAAGAAATATTATTATGAAGGATGGCCAAAAAGTAAAAACAAAGTTAGTCAATTAGTGAAACCATATTGGAATGTACAAGCTGAAATACATGTAGTTAAGGATTTGTTATTTAAAGGATCAAAATTAATAGTACCACAGTCTATGTATAAAGAAATGTTGGATAAAATTCATGAAGGTCACCAAGGAATAAATAAATGTCTCAAATTAGCTAGAGATTCTTTATATTGGCCAAACATGTCAGTTGATATTAAAAATTTAGTAGAACAATGTCTTATATGTGCAAAATTTAAACCTGCTAACCAAAAAGAGCCATTACAAAATTTTGAAATTAACAAATATCCATGGCAACAAGTTGGTATTGATTTAATGTACTTTGATGGTCTTTCTTATTTAATTGTTACAGATTATTATTCTAAATACATAGAAATAGCTTTGTTAAATAAGAATAGTACAGCCAAAAATGTAATTACACATTTAAAGTCGATTTTTGCCCGTCATGGTATACCTTTGTCATTAGTGTCTGACGGTGGACCTCCTTTCCAATCTTTAGAATTTAAAAATTTCTTACATGAATGGGACATAGAACATGTTGTTACTAGTCCATATCATGCACAGTCTAATGGTCAAGCTGAAAGTTCAGTTAAAATTGTCAAAAATATGTTGAAAAAATGTAAAGAAAATTCGTCTGATCCTTATATAGCTTTGTTGCAATATAGAAACACACCTAAGAATAATTTACCGTCCCCAGCTCAACTCTTAATGTCTAGGAATTTAAGAGACAATGTCCCTAAGTCGTATAAGAAATTAAAACCAAAGGTAGTAACATTTAAAGATTACAAAGAATGTGTAACTAAGAATAATGATTGTAAGTCTAAATATTATAATAGAAGTGCTAAGCCTTTACCATTGTTATATCCCAATGATCATGTCTACTTCAAAAGACAACCTAATTGTAATTGGGAACAGGCTATTGTCAAGCAAAGGCTGGCAAATAATAGGTCATATGTCGTTGAGGATGTCAATGGAGTTAGGTATAGGAGAAATAGGATTCACTTAAGGCATAAGTTCTCTCCTATGCTATCCAACTCATCGTCGTCGTCGTCTTTGTCATCGCAAGGGAGAGAGGATGGTGACAGTCAGAAGGCTGGACCTCAAGAACTCTCATCTCGATCCTCAAGTAGTCAATTTGTTACACGTTCAGGTCGTATTGTAAAGCCCACAAGAAGGCTAATAGAAGAAATAGATTAAGTATATTTTGTAATCTTATATGTTGTAAATTAAGTACCTAGTCAAGTTATACTATAAGTCGTTTATAATATTGTCAAGTAGTCATAGTGATAAGTCTGTTTTGTAAAGGGTTAATTTAAACTTAACAAGGGGGATGTTGTATTGTCTATGATTAGTATTACTAATCAGTGTTGCACTATTATTGTCTATGTCGTCATATCACTATAAAGAGGGTGGCCGAGCAAGTGTCGGCCATTGACAATGTAACTCTGGTGCAGTGAGCTGCAGGACTGTGTACTACCTAATTAAAGTCAAGTATCCAAGATCCAAGTCTTTCAATCATATTACAATAGCGAGAAAGTTGGACCCGTGCGAAGCGGGGGCGGGCCGCTAGTATGCCATAAAAACATGAACTGTAATAATATACTTACGGTAGTCAGAGCACTGTTGGGACGGCTGCCTATTATCTGCGCTCGCGCATTATCGCGCCGCACCGCTCCTGCGGAAGCAAATACTGATATTGAGCGAATATAGGGACTTTATACATGACCATTTTGTTTGTTGTGACATGTCTGGGTAGGTGGACTGGGACATAGATAGTGGGAAGTAGCTATGTTGGTTTTTGAATTATATTTTGTTGGTTAGAGAAGTGGTATGTCGGTTATATTAATAAAAACACATACATAAATATGTTAGATGGACGTTAAGAACTGCTTTAATCACAGAGCGATTTTTGCAATATTTAGAGCAATATTGCAAAAATCGCTCTGTGATTAAAGCAGTTCTTAACGTCCATCTAACATATGTATGTATGTGTGTACACAAAGAAAATCAACAGACTATTCTGAAGTGTTGAATCTCTTTTATAAGCAAACTGTAGTAGAGCTCATTCTGAAAGAGGAAGATCATCAAAAAACTGAAGATTCCACAAGAATTTGAGGCAAACAAAGCGTTATTTCATTCAAATAAGTGCGATATTCGTACTTGACGCGTTAATTGCGTAATATTGTATTGATTAACCACACTCCTTCACCTTGAAAACTGAACAGATATCTAATAATAATGCAAAATTCTGGTTACAGTACGTCTACACGTGTTTATTTGTACGACCAATTTGGGAATATGTTTAGACTAGGTACATTTATATTTTAGTAACGTAGGTACTTAGCATTAAGATATTAGACCTATATTTCATTATAAGAATTCAGCTAAGAGCGTATAGACCACTACACAGAAGACAAAATCAAGGTTGGGTTGGGCATTTAATGTTGTTTGTTGTACTGGAGGAAAACGAGCAGACGGATAACCTGATGGTAAGCAATGCGCGTCGCTGGACGTCTCATAATAATAATTTGGTGGTATTTAGATTATTTGATCTGTTTTCTTAGTTCAAAATAGTTAAGATTGCGCATCATCAAAACGTAATCTGCTGTTATGTTGCCAGTACTGCAGACTAAATTCAGTCATTTTCTAGTCACGCACCACGTTTTTTTATTATAAAAACGTTAAGTACTTACTATTTACATGGGGCTGTAATAAATAGCAACGAGACATATTAATGTCATAAATGTTTACATCAGTTTCATAATTTTTCTTTAATTTTTTTCTTTTAAATAAAAAACCTTGCAGGAGTTTCTTCTGTGTCGTGGGTGCGTTTACAAACATACAATTCCACATACACATCACACCCAGACCCGAAACAACAATTTGTGGATAACACAATGAGTTGTTCCGTGGTTGAATCGAACCCGCGACAAGTTGCGCGGCCGCCAGTTGCTCAGCCACCGCGCCAACCGTGCGATCAAGCCGTGCAATAATGGGTCACAAACTTGATATTAATACTATCCTAATAATATTAGGTACTAATAGGAAAGTTTTTGAGAATGTTTGTTTGTTATTGTTTCACGCAAAAACTGCTGGACCGATTTGGTTGCAATTTGGTATGTAGATAGGATGTAGATTGGTAATCTTGGACTCACACATAGACTTTTTATCAACATACCACGCGGGCAAAACCGAAGGCAGAAAACAGTGAACTATAATAACAACAAATTCTCCCGATCATGTAACAAGATACATTGTAACACACACACATTCCATAGCACTCAAAGGTGTCCAAACCAGCGAAAAGGAGTTTATTTGAATGCGCTGTCTTGAGATATCTTAAGTTAAATCTTAATTGGACACAAGCTAAGCTTATAAAACTGCTCTTTAATCCACACGTAATACGAAGCCTAATTAACGGGGATTTAGCCAGCAAGAGAAGAGATTTTCAGTTCAAAAGCTGGTGCTTGTAGCTGTAATATGATTGAAAGACTTGGATCTTGGATACTTGACTTTATTTATACGTTACACAGTCCTGCAGCTCACTGCACCAGAGTTACATTGTCAATGGCCGACACTTGCTCGGCCACCCTCTTTATAGTGATATGACGACATAGACAATAATAGTGCAACACTGATTAGTAATACTAATCATAGACAATACAACATCCCCCTTGTTAAGTTTAAATTAACCCTTTACAAAACAGACTTATCACTATGACAACTTGACAATATTATAAACGACTTATACTTATATAACTTGACTAGGTACTTAATTTACAACATATAAGATTACAAAATATATTTCCTATCTTAATCTATTTCTTCTATTAGCCTTCTTGTGGGCTTTACAATACGACCTGAACGTGTAACAAATTGACTACTTGAGGATCGAGATGAGAGTTCTTGAGGTCCAGCCTTCTGACTGTCACCATCCTCTCTCCCTTGCGATGACAAAGACGACGACGACGATGAGTTGGATAGCATAGGAGAGAACTTATGCCTTAAGTGAATCCTATTTCTCCTATACCTAACTCCATTGACATCCTCAACGACATATGACCTATTATTTGCCAGCCTTTGCTTGACAATAGCCTGTTCCCAATTACAACTAGGTTGTCTTTTGAAGTAGACATGATCATTGGGATATAACAATGGTAAAGGCTTAGCACTTCTATTATAATATTTAGACTTACAATCATTATTCTTAGTTACACATTCTTTGTAATCTTTAAATGTTACTACCTTTGGTTTTAATTTCTTATACGACTTAGGGACATTGTCTCTTAAATTCCTAGACATTAAGAGTTGAGCTGGGGACGGTAAATTATTCTTAGGTGTGTTTCTATATTGCAACAAAGCTATATAAGGATCAGACGAATTTTCTTTACATTTTTTCAACATATTTTTGACAATTTTAACTGAACTTTCAGCTTGACCATTAGACTGTGCATGATATGGACTAGTAACAACATGTTCTATGTCCCATTCATGTAAGAAATTTTTAAATTCTAAAGATTGGAAAGGAGGTCCACCGTCAGACACTAATGACAAAGGTATACCATGACGGGCAAAAATCGACTTTAAATGTGTAATTACATTTTTGGCTGTACTATTCTTATTTAACAAAGCTATTTCTATGTATTTAGAATAGTAATCTGTAACAATTAAATAAGAAAGACCATCAAAGTACATTAAATCAATACCAACTTGTTGCCATGGATATTTGTTAATTTCAAAATTTTGTAATGGCTCTTTTTGGTTAGCAGGTTTAAATTTTGCACATATAAGACATTGTTCTACTAAATTTTTAATATCAACTGACATGTTTGGCCAATATAAAGAATCTCTAGCTAATTTGAGACATTTATTTATTCCTTGGTGACCTTCATGAATTTTATCCAACATTTCTTTATACATAGACTGTGGTACTATTAATTTTGATCCTTTAAATAACAAATCCTTAACTACATGTATTTCAGCTTGTACATTCCAATATGGTTTCACTAATTGACTAACTTTGTTTTTACTTTTTGGCCATCCTTCATAATAATATTTCTTTAACAATTGCAAACTTTCATCTTTATTAGTTTGTTGTGACAATTTTGTACTGTAATCCTTAGTAATTGCTAAATTTGAATGCATTAAATTGACATGACAGGTTATTTCAGACTCATTCTCTGGAATATAATGATCTTTTAAGGCTGCTCTCGACAAAGTATCAGATATGAACATTTGTTTACCTGGGACATGTATAACTTTCAAATCATACTTTTGCAAAGTTAACATCATTCGCTGTAACCTAGCTGGTACATCATGTAATGGTTTATCAAACAGGTAGACTAAAGGTTTGTGATCTGTGTGAACTGTAACTCTGTGACCATATACATACTGGTGAAATTTTTCACAACCAAATTGAATTGCAAGCAATTCTTTCTCTATTTGAGCATACCTTGACTGGGTTGTGGTTAAAGTTTTAGAACTATAAGCAATGGGTTTATTATTTTGTAAAATGACTGCTCCCAATGCTGATTTAGACGAATCTACTGACAAGACTAATGGAATGTTGGGGTTATAGTGAGCTAAGACAGGTGACTTTGTGATTTCATCTATTAAACCCTTAAGACATTTATTGTGATTCTCATCCCAAGACCAGACAGAATCCTTTTTCAAAAGATTTCTTAAAATTTGAGTTTTTTCTGACAAATTACTAATAAAGGGACCTAAATAATTGATCATACCTAATATTCTTTGTAATTCTTTGACATTTTTTGGTGTAGGCATATTGACAATTGCTTTAACTTTCTCTTGGTCAACCCTTGCACCATCTTTACTAAAGATATAACCTAGGAAACAGACTTCAGACACTAGAAATTTACATTTAGATTTGTTAAATTTTAAATTAACTTGACGTGCTCTTTGCATGACTTTATGTAATCTCTCATTATGTACAGACTCATTTGGGCCATAGACTAGAATGTCATCAATGAATATTAAGACTCCTTCCAAATCACCAAACAAATTCATCATAACTCTTTGAAATATTTCTGATGATGCATTTATTCCAAAAGGTAACCTTAAATATTTATATCTACCAAATGGTGTTTGAAAAGTACATAATTTAGAACTATATTCATCTAATTTTAACATCCAAAAACCCGAAAATGCATCTAAATGAGAGAAACAGACAGCTCCAACTAGTTGAGATCTTATCTCATCAATTGACTTAAGTGGATATATTTCCCTTATGATATTTTTATTTAAATTTCTAGGATCTAAACAAATTCGTAACTGACCTGAACTTTTTACAGTTATAACTATACTATTCACCCACTCTGTAGGCTTAGTGACTTTTTCTATGACTTTCATGCTCTCCATGCGATCCAACTCCTCGCGTAGCTTTCCAAGTAACGCAAATGGTACTCTCCTGGGAGGATCCACACATGGTACTGCATCAGGTTTGAGTTTCAGGTGACAGACAGGAGGTAGACAGCCAAGACCCTGGAAGACATCATTGTATTTTGTTAGAATTTGTTGACAAAAATTTTGTTTAGACACTGAAAAAACTCTTTTAATTATTCCTAACCTTTCACATGTAGGAAGACCTAAGACATTGGGACACTCTAAATTTGCGACTATGAACACTATGTTCTCACTGACATTGTTATTATTTAA